CCCAGATTCATGGGTCTTGAACAACTGCATGTATTCGACTGATTTGCACACAGACCTCCCAATTGAAAGCAGGTCTCCGCGCCAACTTTTCGCCCGACAGCACTCATCAGCCGCTTTTGTTCAGCGCCCGACTGTCGAAGGGATGAATCTAAGGGCACCTCAGACTCCCCCCATACGCATTTGCCAAGATCCTTACACAGGATGAAGAATCGATGGCACAGTTCCTTCGTGGGCGCCCCACTGGACATAGAAGTGTGAGACTCCTGTCAGAAGACTATCTTCTTGGAAAGGTTTCTTTTTTTGCACTTTCTTCTTTAATTGATGGGATGTAGAAAATGATAAAATGTCTAAATCCATGGACAAACTGTGCCATCTTTCACCCAACTGTAAACTGTCCATCGCGCAATTGAAGGCCGGGGGCCCTAGCGCAGCATCGCCTGTTTTGAGGTCCAGAGAGCTGTCAGAGTAGCATACAAATTTAGATGCGCATCCCAAGAATTGAATCAATGAGATCCCCTCAAACTGGCAGCATCCCCATCAAGCTGTGCACTGCTGAAGGTCTCGCGCTTGGCTGGGGCTTCAACTGCAAGTGCTCGCCGCCTTATCCCATGCTCGAATTATCTGTGCGCCCACCTGGCAAGCTGCATTTCAATGGCAATCTCATACAGTGGATGCCCAAAATATTGCAGGTAGGGATAGTAGGGAGTCAGGGAAACTCTGGAATGTGTCTGTACTTTACCATGGTTTTGTGGTTGGATGTTTTGTAGCTCTACTTGCAATCCTTCGGGCATTCACCAGAAAGCAACTCGACAGCTTAACCACTGTTCAAAGTGAACAGAACACATCGCGGGTGACCTTGGGGGGCAGACAATTGAGTCAACTGGCCAGGCTGTCCTCAGATCCCCTGCTATCAGTTTAACTTTTGGTGGGTTCAAAATCAAACCAAACCATGCAACAAAAATGCAGAAAACGCACTCATATTTCCCCGTTGGGGTGGGTTTGAGCATTTTGCACAATATGGTTAAATGGAAACCCCTATTAAACCAACTACAGGCAAAACATCTAAGGAACCGGACGACTGGAAACTGCCAAGCAGCACGGCAACTGCTTAGACATGGCGGGAACGCGAAAACGCGGCGCCGCTGCCCTGACAACAAGCTGAGCTGAGCTGGTGGCGCTTGCGGGGGCACTCAAGACTCCGCACGGAGTGGCCTATGGACCCTACGTTTGTCGAAGCAAAAACCAAGCACACCAGAATGGTCCAAAATATACGCCGTCCAGAACCCACATTGGCCATTTAAGTAGAGTAGTCCATTTACCTGGCGTAAGGGGTGATAGCACGGCGTGTTTCACCATCTTGGTATCTTGGTGGAAGCATAAGTCAACGAGTTTTGGGGCGCTGCTCAATTGAACGCGCTGTGCGACCATTTCCTGCATGCAGTGTCCAATCTTTGCAGTCTAAGCCATCAAAATGGCATATCTACTAAAGTCTTCATGATCCGACCCTAGGACAAAACTATGTGTGGCCAAGAGGACACTTTAGAAAACCTGGTTGGCCCCTGTTTTTTTCTAGCTGTGCGAAACTTGGGTGGGCACCTCGTGTGCTCAGTAGGGAATGACCCAGGGATGAGGGTTTGGGAATGAACCTGGCGATTCCCTTAAAGGAAGCCATAGGGGATTTGTTTATACACCCAAACGCGAAAGTCCTTGCATTTTCGTGTTTTTCTTGAAAGTCCGCAGCCTGCCAGTAAAAACAACGCAACGAGTAGTCCCGGCAGGGTCCTTGCAACTGAGCCTTCCCCACTGGCACACGGCGCCCAAGTGTCTCCTAAAACTGCTTTGTTTGAGTACCACTACGGACGCAATCCCCATGGCACATCGCATGTTACAAGGCACTTAAAACGCATTTTAAGCATACACGTTTAAGTACGAGTAAGAAGGCAATCCCCATGGCACATCGCATACCAGTTGGGACCAAGATGTTGCTTGACTATGTGTGTTTGCACGCCAAAAAGAAGGCAATCCCCATGGCACATCGCATGCTCAACAACATCGAAACAAGTCTTGCAAAAACAAGTTCGTGTGCTAGTACGAAGGCAATCCCCATGGCACAAGCATACCCAAAAGCAACCAAACACATCTTGAAAACACCTTTTCGAAGCACAAAAATGAAGGCAACCCCCATGGCACGTTGCATAACCAACCGCAACGTGTCTCCTGAAACTGCTTTGCTTGAGCGCCACTACGGACGCAATCCCCGTGGCACATTGCATATTACAAGGCGCTTAAACGCATTTGAAGCACACATGTCTAAGTATGAGTAAGAAGGCAACCAGCATGGCACATCACATACCAGTTGGGACCGAAATGTTCCTTGACTATGTATGCTTGCTCGCCGAAAAGAAGGCAATCCCCATGGCACATCGCATGCTCAACAACACTGAAACAATTCTTTCAAAAACAAGTTCATGTGCTAGTGTGAAGGCAATCCCCATGGCACATGCATACCCAAAGGCAACCAAACATCTTGAACACATTTCTCGAAGCGCCAAATACAAGCAACCCCCATGGCACATCGCAGAACCAACCGCAACCGAGCAGTGTTTAAACATATATATATATGTAGTAGTAGTAGTAGTAGTAGTAGTAGTAGTAGTAGTAGTAGTAGTAGTAGTAGTAGTAGTAGCAGAAGCAGTAGTAGTAGTAGTAGTAGTAGTAGCAGTAGTAGTAGTAGTAGTCGTGGTGGTAGTAGTAGTAGTAGCAGCAGTAGTAGGAGGTGCCTTGTGTTAAGTTTTTGGCAAGTTTACCCAGGAAAAAAACGAGTCCAAAAACGAGTCTAAAACGAGTCCGAAAAGAAAGAAAACGTGCAGCCGCAACCCACCTAGGCCTCAGCCTGAAAAGCAGGCCGTTGAAACCAATTGATGTGTTAAGCAGACTGTCGGCCTTAGCCTAATACGTATTACAAGCACTTGTTGAGGATGACTGCGTGCGCCAATGCGGTTCATGTGTTAGTTGACTGAACCTTCTCATTATCTTGGCCAGAGGCAGTGTGCCATTGCGTTTTGTGATGGGAGTGGGCCTCAACATTCAACAGCGCACCTTCGCCAAACACTCCTCAAAGTATCCGCCTCCCCATGGCACACCAAACACTTGGCTTTGTGTACAGTGGGGGGCTGGGGTAGCACTTGCGTCGCCAGCAACATCTAAGCCTGCAACTTCTATCACCTCGAATCCTACTGGCACACAGCTGAACAACACAAGGAACCAGACTCCCATGTGTTAGTTGACTGAATCTTTTCATTATCTTGGCCGGAGGCAGTGTGCCATTGCGTTTTGTGACGGGAGTGGGCCTCAACGTGCAACAGCGCCCCTTCACCAAACACTCCTCAAAGTATCCGGTCCCCCATGGCACACCAGACACTTGGCTTTGTGTACGGTGGGGGGCTGGGGTAGCACTTGCATCGTCAGCAACATCTAAGTGAAACGAGTGTACCCATGCGATTTGATTCAAAATGGCTTCATGCCACACATCATAAAAGACAGCATGATCATGACCCTAAATAGCTTTCCCCACTGGCACACTGCTTGCGGCGCGAGATCATGGCTTGCGGGGCGTGTAACCACAAGGACCCAGTAAGTGTTTTTTCAGGCGTGTGCCAATGCGATTGGCCACCCAAAATGCCTCAACATCACCAACACAAACCGCGATCGAGGGAAGGTGTTTTCCATGTGTGCCAGTGCGTTCGGCCTACCCAAAAGACCTCAACTTGATCAATGAAACCATCTCAGGGGACCACGTTCAGCATGTATTTCTCTACAAAAAAGACCTCAATATCACGCAGCAATTGTCTCTTGAAAACATGCTAAACCAAACGCCACTGGCACACGGAGTTGCAACGACCCTACCGGATGCGTTTCGTGTGCGTATTACACGAAAAACATGCTGCCAAAACCAAACGCAACGACTTTCACAGGTGAGAGTAGGGGTCATTCCCTCATTCCCTGCAGAACCAGCAGGTAATTTTGTCATTGGCTGGCGTGGGGATATTCAACCCAGGAGCCTTTTGGAGACAGATTTGAAAGGGAACCGACACGAAACCGCGGAGGGGCCTTACTCTTGACCCACAGTGAGAATGTCGGAATACAGCCGTGTCCAGTTCAGCCCGGCCAGTGCCGCAGGCAAATATAACATGTTTTGGGTGCGGAAAAACGGAACTTCTAGTAAGCTGCATTCCCTTGGACTAGAGAGTAACGTTTTTGCTATTCTCCTTTCTTGAACAAGAAACAAACAAACATATCTAAGTCCTATAGTCTTACCCAGTATAGTTGAACAAGTCTTCACTTTGGACAACCCACCCGTTGGCCCTTCTGCCCGAAAACCGACCCCGGCCGGCCTGGCGAGCCGGTACCGTCTGCGGCCGGTAAGCCGGAGCCTGCAGCAGGAAGACAAACCCCAGTACATCCATTCACCCAGCGTTGTAGGGGCTTCCAAGGGCTTGACACTCTAGCCAAAATAGCTGCAGTACCCGATTTACCCAGTTTTGTAGGGGCTTCCAAAGGTTGCGACACTACCAAAATAGTTGGTATACATACGAGAAGGGTATATATATAACTGGGATGCGCGAAAAATACACAAGTAGCTACAAACACGCAAACTCGGAGTACAGCAGCAAAGCCACAAGCTTGCGAATTATCCTACCAACACTTTGTTGCTGTTGACCCCTCTGCAAAAAGTTTTTCACTTTTTGTGGGCCCAACACCGAAAATCCGAGCTGTTTCAACCAAACACGAATCGGTCCAAAGATCCATTCCCAACTTGTCGCAAAGCAAAATGATGGTGTCCTGTTGTTTCCCCTTTAAACACCCCACAAAAGCAAATACCCTCAAAACAAGACGTGCCACCGCACGGTGTTTGCCCAAACCATCGACCGCATCCCTCCTCGCGTCCTTCCCGCGGATTCCCGCACTTCCGGCAGAAGTTGGAGTCAGCGACATAGGTGCTACCGCACTTTCTGCAGGCCTCGGCGAATTCATGCCAACGCTGCCGTAAATTGTTTATATCTGCAACTGTGTGTGGGGGACTTGTGGCACCCCTGTCACCTTTCAAAAGACTACGTTCCTGTTGGCAAGCACGGTGGGGGGATACCACCGCAATCGGTGCAACCAAATTTCCCCCCTGTGGCAGTCTCATGGGGTCCGTTTAAACCTCCTCTCGCATCCTTTTCAATTTCCACAAAAGTAACGCACGCATAGCAAACAACTCAAAGCAAACCAAGCAAACCAAGGCGAAGCAACGCGAATCAAGCCTCCCCCAAAATCAGACCTGCTCAGGTGATTGCTCCAGAAAACAACGACATGGCAACTAAAAATCGTGGGGTTGACAACAGTATGACTACCGCAAACGGGACTTGCATGCTTTCGCTTTGCCAGGGTCAAATCCATACCATTCCCACAAGGTTGGTTGTGCTTGTAAGGCTTTGCGGCACATCGGTTGATCTGCTCAATTGCCGCCTCCTATTTTGCAAACCCTTGTTGGTTGACCTGTTGCTGTCTGGCTGACATGCGGTGTCTCCGTCCCATTTTACAGGGCTGTAAAGGAAGGAATGGCCCCATTACACCCAAAAACTTGGCATGTCCAAAAGGTGCTGGAGACTTCGGAATGATGACAACTTTTCGGGGGTATTCTTAAAGAAGGACTTGCTTGTTGAATGCGTTTTTCCTTCGGGATCCTGGCAACCTACCCTCGCAGAAAATCGGGGGTACGCACGCAGAAACTACTAGTAGAAGGAGGGGAGGTTGGGCGCGTCCGCAAGGCTTGAGACCTCCCCTATGTCTATGTTGCAGGAATTGTCATGTTTGTCACGGATGTCCTCAAGAGAAACCTGGATACATGTACCCCTAGTCACGACTTACTCCACGTCTAAGGCTTGGCTCAGTCGCTCTTAGCCCCCGACATGCCCCAAGGCGCCTGGGGAGGACACTGAGTGCCTGGCCCAACGATATCTGAAAAGAACGGGAACTGCAAGGGGAGGGTTCTCCGGATTGCCCTTTAAACAGACGCAGCACGAGCTTTAAGAGGGCGAAAGAAACAAGTACAGTTGACAGAGACACACCCAGCCCCAACTATTACAACGAATCCAGCGGCAAACGTTTTCGATCATTCCAGGTTGTGTGGGAGAGTGGAGACACCAGGCTCCACTTCGTCAACACGGCTTGTGGGGTCACGATGCTTTGCTGTGTGACGCCGAAAGAAACCAAGCGTCCGCCATCTCTCCCCAAGCGCGTGGACAAAGAACCAAGTGATTTGACGTCGGTATGACAAGTCACCGGGAATCATGCATGTTGAGCATGCGCGTTGAAGCGCAGCCCGGCTAAGCATAAGGCAATCAATTGGAACCCAGGCAATGTGCCATTCTTCCTGCTCCCTCTGGTGCGCAGATTGTGGCCCATCAAACACCCAAACGTTCTCTCGTTCACCCCTTGACTTGGAGCGACTGGAACTCCCCCAAGAGTGTTCCTGTTGCGAACCTGACCCCCTTTTCCGAAGAAAGAGATGTGAACACAGGCGGCTCCCTATCCGTGAAGCAACACCCCCAAAGGTAACTCACCTCAAGTGTGTTTCGAACAGCCAGTGTTTTTGTACCCGAAACCGGTGTTCAAAAGGAGCACTTTGGGTATGTGACATGTGGGCCGATTTTTTTTAATCCCTTTGGGGCCCGGAAAGGTGGGCTGCACGAAACCCCAGCGCTTCCTCGTAGCCAGAGTAGTGCAGCGAACTGGCCAACTATTTACATGCTCAGAAAGCAAGCTCGAATCCCAAAGGAAGGAAACAGATTCCAACCTCAGGTTCTTCGAACCCCAGCCTCCCAATTCAGGGTTCCAGCCGGGCACTGGCCAAATAGCTGGTTACCAACCTGGGCTGTCCAACCTGATCCCCTGCTCAAAGTGACCAACTTTCAGTGGGGTAAATGGACACCCCCACTGCTTTTCCTTCCCCCCTAACAAGCAACAAAAAAGTCAAGGGATCCGGATATCTGGAGAACTACCAAGCAACTCAGCTCCTTTCTGCTCCCCGGCCAAAAGTGACTGACTTTTAATGTTTAATTCGGAAAACCCATTAATAAATTAGTTGGCAAAAAGTGGTTCAGTCCTAACATCACCAGTAGTAGGGATCTTGGTGGATTTTCCTTTGGTGCTGCCGGTGATCTAATTAATTAGTTGGCAAAATGCGCCAAAGTAGGTCACCGGCACTCGGCCACCGCCGCCGCCTCACCGGCGACGCCGCGCGGCTTCCTGGCGCCAAGCCCCGGAAGCGCTTCCGGTTTCGACCTGGTTCGCCTTTTTTGGTTGGGAGAGTTCCTTATCCCAACCTTTAGTAGGGGAACCATTTTTTGGGGGGAAAAAGAAACAAGTTGGTTTGTTGACTTTTGGGGAGAAAGAAACAAGTTGGTACTAACTTATTCTAACCTCTCAAATCTGGAGAACCTAGTTGTCTTCCTCCTGCCGAAGGCTCACCCAAAACCCGCAATACTGTTGATGCCGTAACTCCACCAGCCGGCTGCGGCTCAAAAGTAAACAGAAGGGGTTACTCAGGTTTTGGTCCATGTTTCCAATTACCAGGGTTCCATTTTGGTACCGGTCTTTTTGAGCCACATCTAGCCACAAAACCATGAGATAAGTAAGGCAACTGCGAGAACCACATGCAGCCACACAAAGGGGCAAAGATGAAACTGCCGGAAGGCATCTAGTCACTTGGAAGCGGGGCATCCACCGTAGCAGTGGAAGATCCATTTTGGAGCGACCTGTTGGGCGCCATAAAAAAAAAGCTCCGCCCTTGGGAATTGTTGATGGAGAAGCTGGAAAGGTCGCTGGAAGAGGCAAGTCGGTATTTTGCTCCAGGGAAACCGTGAAACCAGTGAACATCAATGCTGGGATCCACTGGGCGTGTCGCTTCATCCCCAGGTTGAACCAAGTACTAGTGGCACTGGTGTGGAGGCATGTTGCAAAAAACAACAAGTTGAATAGAATCGAGTTCAAGTAGAGGCTGGATTTTACAAGCCAAGATAATTGTGCTAGAACAAAGGCATGGCTCTCCAACGAATGATATGGCTGAGGCCAAAAATATTGCAAGTACGGAACAAGGGAATTATCTTCTAATAACTGTCGTATTACCGTGCATGATGTACCATGGATTTGTGGTTGGATGTGGCTGGTTTGCGGGTTCAATTCCAGAAGGGGCACCCAACCAGAACTTTGTGTCAAATTTCAGTTGTGGTTCAATTCCAGAAGGGGCACCCAAGCAGAACTTTGTCAAATTCCAGTGGTGTCCTGTTGGTTTTCATGGGGCCAACCTATCACATAAACCCATTTCCGGTTCTGAGGCCTTCATCTCCGCAACCTTTGAGTTGCATATATAGAGCCGCCTTAGACCAATGCAAGACTTGCAGGCTCACTCCAGAACAACTTCAAGGCTGGAAAACAATGGAACAATGGTTCCTGAAAAGGGCCAAAGGAGACCGATGTCCATTTTTGTTTTTTTTCGCCCACGTTTCAGGCTAGCCACCTGTTTTTCTTAGTCCCAGTGCTTCCAGTTCCCACTATGGTAGGTAACGCTTCGGGCTTCTTACCTCTGGGTTTTACATCATTCAACTTTTTGGTGGAAAACCCAACCTGATTTCAACCAAAAAGTTAAAGTCTAAAGATCCAACCCAATAGCAGTCAAGTTACTATACTGGTAACTGGAAGCACTGGGAATGTCAGCCGGAACGTCAGAAACGTCCTGCAGGAGGCCCGGGGCTGCTGGCTCGACTTCCTGAACCCAAACCATCCGGCACCAAGTGACTTGCTGGTTGAGGAAAAATGATGAAAAATGGAGGTAAGGCAACATGTGGTAGCTAAGTCTGGCAATGAACAAGCCACGGGTTTTTCGGACATGTCCAAAGACATGAGGTTCAAGTAAACCTGAATCTAAGAGACTCAGCTGAAGAACCTAATGGGATCCTGCCTTTTGGTGTCATAGTTAGAGGGGATCACCAAGTATCCTGCTGGATCTAAGCATCAAGGCAAAAGCTGTGAGGCAATCAACTCCAGTGGAGGTCCCTTTCCCCAAACATGGAAGCAACGCATCTATCCAAAAATGGGCCGCACGCAAAAAAGAACGCAGAAGTACATCCAAACACAGGAACACCCTGTTTGGATGGTCACAAAGGAAAACTAGCAGGAATTCAGGGTGCTCAATGTTTTGAAACAGTGACTCTTGTGGTTGGGCAACCTAAACCAGCACCCATCCGAGCCACAACCACAAAGCCCTGAACCAAGCCTTATCAATCACATGCGACACCCTCCTCCCCCACATTGGCTCAAGTCACCGGGTGGCTTTGCTTTGGGCGGCAAACAACTCGTGTCTTGAGAATAACATGTGCGACCAACGCTCTGCTTTCTTACGGTGCTATGCTCCTCCAGTACTTTTCTCAAGGAATCGCCGCCATGGGGTAAGTGCAACGATGTCGTGTCACCCGTAGATTGACACCCCAGCAATTCGGGGTGTGAGGCCGCTTTCAATTTGCACTACGCCATAAATGCTAGAAATTTGTTCGTATCCCCTCCCATTCCTCCGTGCTTCAACAGAATACGTCAAACTGCGCTGGCCAACCTCTGAAGAATTGCTCCAAGCCCAAAATGGGTGTTCAATAGGGCGCCTAGAACTTTCTTTGGGAACATGTCAAATCATGGGCAATTTCTGGGTCCATTAAGGTGACATCCTCAAAATAACCCTCTGAAGCCTAGTTGGAGAGACACCACCAGTATCCCAAACGCAAATTTTAAGAACCCTTAAAGATGCTCTGAGCCAAGCCACTTCGGGGCGAGATACTGCGAGGCGTCTCCTGGCAAAGGCAGAGGGTCCTTGGGTCCAGTATCGTGCAAGGTGTGTTTCTTTTCCAGGGTGTCCTGTTCAGCAAAAAAGGGAAATCACAAGAGCCACCATTTTTCAAGGAGAACACGTCCAGAAAGGAAAAAGCAAAAGCCCCAAATCAGTTCAACATCATGGGTCATGGCTTGGATGTGGATAATATACATATATATAGTATAATTTAAACAAAAGCTCCTCAATCTTGACCTTGGCTTTGCAACAACAACACCTCACTTCCTGGGTGGATCGGTCAAGCAAAGTCCACACTTTCTCTTTACCTCTACAATTGCTTTCCCAAAAGTTTAAAGTTAATGTCCAGAAACTGGCCGACAGGAAAGACCCAGTCGACATGGCAACAAATGCTTGACAGTGAGAACTGCTGCCAGGCCCCTCCGGGCTGAAGCAATGGAACCCTCGCGGCTGTGCTTCCAACAGGCTCTGAGGTCAATCCAGTACAAAGTTCCGAGCATGTCGCCGGTTTAGTTTTCCTCCAATTGGTGGTTTGGATTGGTGGTGTGGCGAAAAAAAGGGGTGGGTTCCCATGTATTCTTTACAAAGAACCAGGGGTTCCAACCCCCAAATCACCAGTCCAAACCACCAATTAAGGGTAACCAGAGTAGCTGCTTCATGTCGGTCGCCTTGGAAAAACAGGAGCCGACCCATGCTCAAGCTGTTTCCCGTTTTGAAACCTTCCCAAAATGGGGCAAAACGGGCTGGGCGTGTCTGCCCCCCCCAAAGCAAAACGTTGGCACCAACTCTCCAAATGGCAGACCCCTTTCTCGGGCCCCTCTGAAAGGGCTGGACATTCCATTGCTAGTGTCTTGTACTTTCTCTGCTTGGAGTCTCGAGGTTCCAAACTCTAGAGCTTTGGGGTTCCGAACTTTGGAATTCCAGAGTTTTGCAACGTAGTTCTCAACCTAAACTTTAGGCCTGCCACTCCGGATGAACCGCAAATGACTTAAAAAAAGCCCGCTCAACGCCCACAACAGCCCACATCGCACATCCACACAAGTAGCCGAATTTCCCAAAGCACTTGCATCGCTTTTCGCCCGGAATAAAGTAACCCAAGGAATGTCCAGGCCCTTTGATTCTTTATGGCTTTTAAACAACATCCCAACCCTGCGACTGGGTGAAAAACAGAAGGCAAAAAACACCAACAACAAAACCCAAGCGCGGGCGGCGCGCCATGAGCAATCGAACCTCCTCCATGTTGCTGGTCAGCTTCCTGCGAGCAAAGCTTCAGAGTTCTTCCCTCAGACGGTGGGATGTTGTCGGCACACGAGGACTGGCACCGGATTTTCTGGTTGGTCATTTCCAACCTGAGTTGATTGGCCGGAACAAGTCCAAACTTTGTTGACGAAAACAGTGAATAGACCTGTCAAGCAAAAGTCTCTACCGACGTTTCAGGTAAGTTGAGCGGACCGGCTGGAAGCAAATGAAGGCCTTGGCCGGAGGATGTGGGAGACGCTTGTTTGGATATAGACTAATATAGACATCAGAGATCTGGAAACAGAACAAATAGGCAACTGGCAAGTGATGTTCAAGGTGGGTTTGCCTTTTGACCATGGATAAATTAAGGCCCCCCTTCCGTCTTGGGAGGTGACACATCGGGGTCCCTTGAACTGAAGGGGAGATCGCCCTCAAAATGGGTTTCCTGTTCCGCAGAGTCATACCCTGAAACCTGCTAAGAAGTCTACCCAAGACCAAGTGGTACCAAAAGAAAGCTACAGGATATCCACGCTGGGGACCGGGAAGCTTCCTGCTATCCGAAGCAGTTTCGAGCGAGGCACATCGAGATGTCCTTGATCCGTTTATCCGGCCCAATGCTGTTACCATTATCAAAGTCATCCCGAAGTAGCTGAGAAACCGGCTACGGGAAATGTTTGGCCAATTTCCTTTAGAACATCAGGTAGCAAGTAGAACGAAAAGGGCAGTTTCTGCCTTTGATCACGCTGAGAAGGAGTGAGCATTAAAAGGGCTCAGCTACGCAAGCTGACCGAGAGCAGAGTTTGATCCAAATTTCACAACTTCCAAAGCAAAACTTAGGGTCCTCTCCAACTTTGCTATCCCCTCGTTTCGGGACCTCTATCAGGGGGCCCTAAATGGTTCTAATACATTGGTTCGAATGTATCTGCCCAGTACAGACTTGATTTTCCCAGTGCATCTGACTTTGATAGAGCTGTTGGCTCCTTGTGGAGTTGGAGTTGGAGTTGGAGTTGGGTATTTTTGGGATCCGGCCCCCCAGCCGCCACTTCAGATTCCAGGCTCCAGCTGGCACCGAAGGACAATCATGTGTGCAGCATCCTAGGACCCATTTGGATGTGTGTCAAAATAGGGGGCACCTATTCAAATGTGATTTACCTTTTTGGCTTCCCTGCAAGCCAATCTGAAAGTGCACCTCCAAACGGGTACCCTGTCCAAGGGAGTCCGCCTTTGAACCAAGCTGAAAGTGCACGTGCAACAAGAGAACCACACATCCATTTGTTCCGCATATGCCTCTTTTTTCCCAAACCTGAATTAAGGGCTCCCAAGTAAAGAAGCTGTATCATGGTGAGCTCGTTATACCCCGAACCGGTGAGCTCGCTATAAAAGAGGCAGATTTCTTAGACAGCCATGGGTCAAAATCCAAATCGTACCCCCAGTGAACATCCCAATCCCAACTAAAATAGACTAAAATGGGTGGGTCACCCCACATAGACTGCGCGTGTCTCCTGCCTCAGAGCCGCCTCGTAGTCCTCATCCGGCCGGGCCCGGGCTGTGGCCTGCGATTGAATGGACGGTTTTGAGGGTACTCCCAAAAAATGGGAACACGGGCGCCATTTTTGAGAACATGTTTTTCTTTTGGGGGGGAAGGGGGACACCTCTAAGGGTTGATTCTCCATTCTTTTCAACCATCGTTCTTTTCAAAATCCGGCGTTAGTGAGGCTTTCTGGAAAGAAGGATCCCTGGAAAGAATGAGGAAGGTACCCCTAGAGGTACCCGAAACTGCGGGGTGGTTTCAAGGGACGCCACAAGCAAGCACCTATTTATTTTCACCTTTGACATGGCAAATGGCAAACCACCATTTTAAAGAGCCTATCTTGAGAAACTCCCAAATAGTTTGGGGTGCCTGTTTTGGATATCCGATCAGTCAAGGCACCTCAAAGTACCTGACCTTGGGCCCAACCCGCATGGGGGCCTTTCTTTGGAAATCTCTTTTCAGATGGGCTGGTGCAAAACGGAAAACAAAGGGAACATGCTCCTCATCCAGAACCTTTTGCTGAACGGCGAAACCTGGCCGTGAGGCTGAGCTCTGAGCCAGCGATCGGAACTCCACTTCGAGCCGGTTCTGCCACTTTGCGACGTCCTCACGATGCAAACAGGCGCAAACCAACATGGGTCACCAGCCATATGGCCATGAATGTAAATGGGGAACTCCCTCAAAAGCGGCAGGTGGACACAAATCCCCATGTAAAGGAAGTCCACCAAAGGGTCCCCAATTAAAAAATCACACCCATATGGATGTGGGTCAAAAATCAAACCATCAGGGAACCGGCTTTGTCCTTGCTTCCATTTACCAGGGTCCCATTTTGGGATACCCATTCTTGACTCACACGCACATTGCACCAAATGGGACACATCATCCTGGTCAATCCATAACTACAGCAAGCCGTGGACCTGTACCCAAATACAGCTTGGTACAGCCAGTACCATGGGATGCCAATCAATCCACCAGCAAGTGTGCTGACATGCAGAAAATCCCAAGGCACGCAATGTCCTCCTCCTCTGTTGACACAACTCATGCAAGCATCCCCAAGAAAGGTGGCCATGAAGCGACACCGAAGCCCAAAGTTGAAATGCCGATTTGCGTTGGGCTAGTGAAGTCTGCAAAAGGGTCGCTTTGGCCAGGCCGTTGAACCACACTGAAACGTCCCCTGTTCAAACATCCTCCTGTATCCTGTCGGCTCCTCTTTGTACTAGGGTCGTGCTCCTGTAAACCAACTCAAGCAACCTTCCTTGGGCCCCGCTCAACATGTCCTCCATTTGCGCAGAAAGGCGACCAATCTGCTGCTCCAGCCTGGGCACAAAAGCAAAATCAGATGTGCCATGATCAAAACTCAGAATCTGCGGGCCCTGCTGTCATGGCTCCCTTCAAAACACCTTTACAATTGTTGTCTGAAATCAACTAATTATCAAGCATTCAATGACCATCCCTAGTAACTCAAGGAAAGGGGTGTGTTGATTAGCTGCGGAAACTAGCATCAGTGATACTAAGGCTCAAAAGCACGGGCAAAACTCCTGTGCGTGTGGTTGCCACTGATTCGGGTTGACACCTTCTGCATGGCATAGCCATCCACTCCCGATCTGGGGGCCATCGTCTGCAACAGGACCGCTTTGTTTCCAGGACCACTTTTCCAGAAAACCAACCAATAACAAGTTGAAAAGGCTGGTGTTTGAAAAAGGAAGGGGAATCAACCCCGATATTGTAGGTACCGCTGCAACTGGAAGCAATGATAGGAGTGGGCCACATCAAATGGCTGCCAATCCACCTGTCCTGCGCCTCTGCGAAATATGCCAACTTGCACCACCGAACATAGACCAGGTGACTTGTGCTCTTGAACCAAACACAGATTGCCCCATCAACATTCAAAAACACTTGAATGACAAAGTACCAAACTCGAACTTTCTGTACACCAGCATATCATAAAGCAATGGTAGGATATGAAAGCGGAATACCATCTATGAACTTGCCATGGCAAAAGTTGGGGGTTGACCATCGGGCATGGCTCACGTCTTCCATTTAGTGGTTGAAACAACCAATGGCCATCCCAGGTTTTGCGGACCTTTTGATCAACCATCACCATTGGTGTCCGCTTGGCAAAATAGATGGCCCTGGCAAGTGGAATAAAAACGAATCTAAACCAGTGGAACCCATCTATGTGCCCCCAACCCCTACCTAGCGCGCTTCCAGTTACCGCCATAGAAGCGCAAGGGAAACCATCTTAGAGGTAAACCATAAATGGTAAAACCATCCATAGGAGCGAACCAACATGGTAAAACCATCTATGTTCAATCAAACTGGCCTAAAAAGACCACCTATGGCACCTTCCAGTTACCACTATAGTAGCCCAAGGAAACCCCAACCCCTACCCAGTACTTCCAGTTCCCAGCATAGCTAACCAAGGGAAACCATGTAAACCCTAGAGGTCAAATCATTTTGGTCACACCAGCAGCCCCCACACCGCGCCAGGGCGATCAGGCAGTGGTTTTCGGAGGCCCCCGGCGATCTCAGCTCCAGCCCGTTCTCGAACCCAGCCCGCGGAAGCAGCTCCTATGGACCACTGACGTCTCTGTGTGCGTTTTTCTTACCCCTTAAAACTCCAAGGATTGGGGAAGTTAACCTTTGACAGACATATAGCCCATGTTACCCAAAAAGTTGAAAAGTTGTGTTTTTAAGAGGTAAGTGTTTGATCCCTTGTTGGTGTTTAAGGCCAACTCTCACTACTGGACCTTGTTTTTCCCAGGAAGCTCAAGCCAATGGAAGGTACCTGGAGTGTCCATGACCCTAAAAAACAAATATGGTCGTGACCCAAAAGAAAGCGGTCATGACCAACCATCTTTCAAGGGTCATGGAGACTCCAGGTACCTTCGGTTGGCTTAAGCTTCCTGGGAAAAAAAGGGCCAGTAGTGATAGTTGGCCTTAAACACCAACAAGGGATTAAACAAAACAGAAAAACAGGTCCACCTACAGACACACTGACTCTTTGTTTTTGGGGCCTTCTCCTTCTTTCCCCCTCCCCGCAATAAATCGCTGCGTCGAACAAACACTGTGCGCTATCGCAAAGCCAAAAAGCTCTGGGAAAACAAAAATAGGTCCAGTAGTGATAGTTTCCCTTAACAACCAAAAGAGGGAAACAAAGCGTATTCTTAAGCAAATGGAAGCTACTGTTGAGTTGGTACTGTAGTTGGGAAAAAAAAAACTGGAAACCATCCAATTGCCTGAGACAAACCAGATTATCTATTGAAGTTTTGCGTCCGGAGAAAAGCGCCGGTTGGGGTGTGCGTCTTATTTTTGGTTGAACACAACGATATGTATGAAACAATGCTTACGATTCCGGTCTGCGCAGCCCGCCCTTTTGCCCAGAAACAGTCAAATAACGTCACCATGACATCAAAAGAGATTCCGTTGTAACTCGACTTTCCTCCTCCACCCGGTCCTCGTGGCTCTCACTCTTTGGAGCCAGTTGCCGCTCCAACCTGAAAGTACTGAGAACCTTTCTCAACCAACGGAAACTTGGGCCATGGATGATCACTGGATCAAGACTTCTCTCGGGAGCAAGGATGGGATACCAGGAATTTACTGAGGGAACTACCAATCCTATCAGAAATGTGTATACATTTCTGATGGCAACGTGAGCTAGTTTTTCTGTGAACACTTGGAGCTTGGAGCCGGAAAGGAAAATATGAGGTGTGGTCAATAATCCATGCTTAACGTGGAACTCAATGATCTTCCCAGGAGGGACTCACTCCTTATGTGTCCCTTACGGAGACGCATCTCTAACTGAGGCTCACGTGATCGTGTTCAGATTGAACCCTCTCCAAGCTTTCGCAAAGGAGCGAGCTTGCGTACCCGGCATTTGCACCTTCCGCAGATAAGCGGCTGTCCATATTCGTTGTCATCCGTTGTTTTGAAGAGAATATGACATGAGGTAAAGTTTCCGGTCGCCACACTACCCCCAAAGAATGCGTTACGTTCTCATGTCAGTTGTGGGCGCGACGAATGGCGCCCGCGGCTTATGTTGCAGCTTGCGAATGTGATGGGTTCATGGTCAGTGACAGTCACCGGGTGATGGTTTATGAGTACTGTAAATGTCTCTCAACTGTTGGCCAGCTGGAACATACACCGGACATCGGTTGTAGAGTTTCATGTTTTGGCCACTTCTGATTTCCGCTTTTGGGCTGCTTGGAACAAGGAGCCTCACGATTCGTGCAAACTCTTCACAGAATCCTTGGGTGTCCCCCAAATGGTAACCCCCTCCCCAAAGCAACCAGCAACCAGCAAAATCGATGATTTCCAAGGGGAACTAGTCCTGAGTCCGGTCCTTCGGATTGATCCGAAGTGAACATTCAGTTTAAAGTCTAGGAGCTCAACACGACGATGTTCTCGAACCCTTTCGAGTGGCTCAGGCCTCGCAATGCGCTGGGCAAGCTTCTCAGTGGCGAGCTTCTCAGTCGCGTCCTCCTGCCAAGGTCGACTCCCCCTCTTGGGTTGATTAAGGGAAGCTATCAGTAAAGCAGCCACGAACCCGAGGGACATTATATCCACTGCTGTTACCACTATAGTAGGGAACCAGAGGAAGCCATCATGTAACGCCTAGAGGTAAGGATTCCTGGGTACCTACTATTGTGGTCACTGGAAGCACTGGGTGCATGTGTGTATATATATATATGTACATTATGCTCTCTTCAAACATATCCTGAAAAGTCTGACACCCCATTTCAGGTTTGCGGACTCAGACATAGCCATTTGAGGTCAAGAGCACCTTGGCCCGAGCCTTCACGACACAAGACAAACAAACAGACAATTAACCTTTTGAAAGTCTTGGTCGACATTCAGATTTGGCGGGTGGTGTCCCATGTCATCATCTATATGATACATCCTGTGACTGGCGTTGTTGCCCATCTCCTAAACATCTCCCCCTCTGCCAGAAGTCTCCTTTGGGCCGCGACGGTGTACTCTGTCGATCGCCTGAAGGAAGTCATTGCCATGCCAGGCCTACATGTTGTGACACAGCCCCATTTCAGAAAAAGCCGTGCGAGACTGCAGTTGCCATGTCTCGTGGTGCTAGTCTTGGATTGTGCAAATGTGCACGGTCTACTGATACAAGTGCAGTAGCAATATCCGAGGCACAAAATAAGACATTATGCCGGTCTTCAGCATATTTCGGCTCCCACCTAGCTCGCGGAGCTTGCATGGGGCTGGCCTACAAGTCATTGGATCCCCTCACCCTACTTGTTTCTTGGTCAATCAATGCCAAAAAGCAAACAGAATCATAAAACATTGGGGATGTCATACGAAATGTCAATGCCTTTGTTGATCCTAAGATCTCCGAGACTCGGACGCACCTATAGATCAATCTCGAGTGACAAAACCGCTTGCGCAAGTGCACAGGTATGCACCTGAGTGAAAGTAGGTGGCCAGCTCCTCTGATGGGGCATGGCTACTTCCAGAAGATGGTTCCCGGTGCCATCACGGACAGCCAGTTGAAGCCACAAAGGACACACTGCTTGTGGGTCTGAGTGATTTTCCATGGGTACACCCTGGAAGGCCCTCCCCATCCTGGTCCTCGCCACCCAATGCCCTTTACGGGAAGTAGAGGGGATGAGTAAACTCACATCTTGAGGGGATGGGCCAAACAGCGTCCAAACTTGTTGAGTGCCACTCTAATTGTTTTCCCAAAAGGTTTACTCAAGAAGTGAGTAAACCAACATGAGGAGATTGCTGGAAAGTGGAGCTAACATTTCGGTGGATACTATGCATTGTCTGCATGCTTAAGCGTTTGTGCATTATTCGTTCTTGCATAGCCGATATCATGTGAGTACATCTGGTATCACGGCCTATGAGGCCATCGCCGGCGCGTCTCAACGAAAGACATGGGGTTGTGCTTTTGTTGGGTACCGTTTGAAGGGCTTTCAAAGGGAAGCCAACAGGAAAGCCAAGCATTCTCGGGGGTCCCCTACACCAGCGAAGACCCCCCGCCAAAAAAAAGGAACCCTTTAACACCATTCCAAAAAGGGTTGCCCTGTATGCATCTCCCTTTCACTCACATCTTATCTGTGACACAGTACTCTTTGGGGGTTCTTTAATGGGACACCGCAGTGAAGCCACTTACTTTGAGACTACCCTCAAAACGGGCCACCCTCAATGGGACTACCACAGCTCGGTTGCTTTCTGCTTCTCTGCTAAAAGTTTAACTTTTAGTGGGTTCAATGGCAAAAGGTTAAAGTCCTAACATCCAGGCAAAATGCACCAAAGACAGTGAAGCCGCTGATTCTGGCGCTACCCTCCAAAACTGACCCACACCCTCCAAACGCATTGAGCCTCGATGCGCTCCTCCATCCTGCGAGGAGCGTGGCTTGATGGGCGTGAGTATTTCCCGTCCCTTCTCGCCTTAGGGAAACCCAAAGGAAAACTAGGGAAACCATAGGGAAAGCATAGAGAAACCATAGGGAAACCACAGCAACACCCTAAAACAAAAAAATAACTAGGTGGAAAAGCACACCCCAAAAACCAAGAAAAACATGGCTTTCTGATGAGTGCTGTTTCGTACACAATGAAGCAAATAAGTCTGCCACGCACGGTGTAAGGAAACAAAAGTGAGGATATCCACAACGAAGTCACGCGCAAACCTTGTAAAATGTCGGCGCTGCAAACCCAGATGTTGGGTGAAGTGGATCCCAAAAGCGGCCACTCACGTCGAATCTAGAACATGAGGCGTTTTGGCTTCCCGCGGTAGCATTCATGAGTCCGCCCAACAAAACGTGCGGATATCGGCACCGAATTTATTCAATGAGGCTGCCCCAAAATGTAAAGAATCAGAAAGGGCCGGGCGGACTGGTTAGCAAGTTCCCTATTCCTTGAAACTTGTCTACCCCCAGGTTTTCATTTTCCAGGGTTTTGGGATTAGAGCCCGGTCGGGGTCGTCCCAAAGCAGAAGGTCTTTGTGAGGAACACCCTTTCCGTTGTTTTTTCTTGCTTTTGGGAGGCCACAGGAAAACAACTATTATGATGGTGCTATGTTTACTCACAGAAATTAAAGGGCAACATAACCTGGCTTGCCCTTTTATCGAATTAAGAGGACAAAGACCGATGTTCACAAACTCGGGCATTCTATAGCACGTGTTGCGTGAAAACTTGCCCCTGCTTAATAGGCAAAAGACAGAGTCGGTCTCGATGTGCGCCTTCGGAAATGAATTGACTGGCTCTTGTAACGGGAGTGAGTTCCATCAGTGTTGCAGGGAAAATTCAGCGAGTGCAATATGTGTGCCTTACAGTGACCTAGTTGGCTGATCGTCAATGCTGGGTTCATCAAAGTGACCTCCTGAAAACGGCCCTCTCTAAGTGGCGGTTTTGCTGAGTGACGACTCTCAATGTAATTTCAGGAACCCCTCACAATACTTCAAGGGACACTCCAAGCCGGGATTCAACTGGGTGTGGCTCATTTAAGAGCCATGGGAACAGCAAGTTTTAGTTTTTTCCCCATGACCAGAAATTCCATTGGCTCCAATTTTGAGCCACAGTCAATTCGTGGTTCTTTGACTCCGCGTTTGCCAGGTCCCGTGATCTTGGTCTTCCGGAGGTGAAACCGCCCAATCTCCGGAGCGAAATTGCAGACGGTTCTCTGGGCTGTTGGAAATGGAGGCTTGGCCCATTCTAACTGATAATCCATCCCAAGTTCCTCCCACTATAGTATAGGCTACCAGCAATTCTACATCCTTTTGGTTTTCAAAAGGGTGGTTCTCCTGGTTGCTTGATTTGGAATCATTGGGCATAGTGGGACGTTTTAAAGGGGGACTCCTGGTTTGAGCTCTACCATATAGTCCTCACCAAATTCAAAAGCCCTGGGAAGGAAATGAAGCAAGTCTTCTGCAAGATTTGGCGAATTGTCCATAGGCCGTAGCTTTTCTAATTCTAGGGCTACCTTCCCCATTCTTTCCAGGAATCCTTCTTTCTAGAGAACCTTCACAAACCGACGGAAAACGGTTGGTTTGTGAAAAGAACGATGGTTGAGAAGAATGAGGAATCAACCCGAGGACTAATTCGTGGTGAGCATCCCCGAGCAGGTCTGTCCCTCTGAGCATGGCGGGTCTTGCCTCGCCATCCTCCTTGAGAGCTGTTCGCCCAGGCGGGATAGGTCCTAGGGCCAGCCAGGGACTTGCCGCGCTGCTGTTGATGATAGACACAATCTGTCCAACCTGTCCTCGGGATACTTTGTTTGTTTGTTTGTTTGTTTGCTTGCTTGTTTTGTTTGTTTGATTGATTGATTGTTTCTGTGGTTGTTTGTTTGCTTGGTTTGTTTGTTTGTTTGTTTGTTTGTTTGCTTGCTTGCTTTCTTGCTTGCTTGCTTGTTGTTTGATTGTTTGTGTTTGTTTGCTTGGATTTGTTTGTTTGTTTGTTTGCGTGTTTGCGTGTTTGCTTGCTTGCTTGCTTGCTTGCTTGCTTGCTTGCTCGTTTGTGTGTTTGTTTGCTTGCTTGCTTGCTTGTTTGTGTGTTTGTTTGCGTGTGTGTGTTTGTTTGCTTGGTTTGTTTGTTTGTTTGGTTGCTTGTTTGTTTGCTTGGTTTGTTTGCTTGCCAGCTTGATTGTTTGGTTGTTTTTTGTTTGCGTGTTTTGTTTGTTTGATTGTTTGCTTGCTTGCTTGCTTGCTTGTTGTTTGTTTGTTTGTGTTTGCTTGTTGTTGCTTTCTTGTTTGCGCGTTTGCGTGTTTGCTTGCTTGCTTGCTTGCTTGCCTGCTTGCCTGCTTGCTTGCTCGTTTGTGTGCTTGTTTGCTTGCTTGCTTGCTTGCTTGCTTGCTTGTTTGTTTGTTTGTTTGTTTGTTTGTTTGTTTGTTTGTTTGTTTGTTTGTTTGTTTGTTTGTTTGTTTGTTTGTTTGTGTTGTGTTTGTTTGTGTTTGTGTGTTTGTTTGTTCGTCTGTTTGCTTGCTTGTTTGTTTGTTCGTTTGTTTGTTTGTGTGTGTTTGTTTGTGTTTGTGTGTTTGTTTGTTCGTCTGTTTGCTTGCTTGTTTGTTTGTTCGTCTGTTTGCTTGCTTGCTTGCTTGTCTTTTGTTGGCTGCTCTTGACACTTCCATCAGCCCCATCCACCAAACGCACAACTTGGACTTGCAGACTCGATCGCATCATTCTGAAGTTCTGAAGCCGTGAGCTTTAGACTTTATCTCCGACCGTGTGTCTCCCCTTCACAGTATCCCGTTTTCTTGTTTAGACAGGGATCCTTACATTATACACCTGAACATTGCCTTGTAAATGGTGGCTTCCCTTTATTTTGGTGGAAAAAGCCATGTTTCAAATGGGCAAAACGTATCTTTTAAGGAGCCCTGTTAGACTGTTTGTGTTTCTTGGCTGTTTACTTAAACCAACATCATTACAGTATCATGTCTTGTGTTTACTTACACCAAAACCATTGGGTTGTGTATTGGCTTTTTTGCTTTGAACCATTGAAATGGTATTGGCTGCTTATACAAACAACTTATGATCTGCTAGTACACGTCAACCTTGAGGCGATACCTGTCAAGCCATTCCATGAGGACTGCGGATTGCTCATTCCTCAAGCACTGGGTGGTACATGGGGGCATAGAGAAACTGACACTTATCCACGCTCTTCTGGCACGCTTCCAGAAACACATAGATATTACTTCAGTGTTCGCAAACTGAGAAGGTGTCAAATAGGGAAGCATTCTCAAGTTTGTAGATGTTCCTGGCAAATGCTTGACCGAGGTTGGGCTTGACCGATGCCGGGACTGGAACCATGAGGGCCTTCGACCGTTTAGGGCCTAACAGGAAAACCGCTTGGCCCTGGCCCTGCATGTACCTGCCAAAAGAATGGCATGGGAGCGAACCACGCCCCGCGCTGAAAAAAAACCCGCACACCAAGGGGTTAAGAGCCTCGGGGACATCGGAGTCACTGTGTGTGGCAGTGGCAACTTGGACGACCCACTTTAGCTTTTGGCGAGTTGTTTCCATCGCTGAACTCTCTGCTCCGGTCTGCTGAAAGGATGGGAAGCTCCTGTAAGCCCGTTGATGTCGGCGGGCTTCTTGCTTTGCTTCACGCATGGTTCTCCAAATCTCTGACACATCTTGTGCTACCTTTCCAAGGATCCTTCTTTCTAGAAAACCTCCGGAAACCCACGGAAACGGATCCGGTATTCGCAAAGAACGATGGTTGGAAATAGTGGAAAAGGAATCCACCCCTGGAACACCGCAGAAACTCCCTTGGCTTCTCCAAAACCACACGACAAGCACATGGCCAGCACTCCGCGCGCGCCTTGTCCATGGACTGGCCAGCCCGCGCCCAAAGGGCCTTTTTAAGCGTGCGATCGACAAAGACGCGAGGCTTTGGCTTGGGCTTTTCCTATCTATAACAAACAATCTATGTTGGATTTTCTATCGAAGTTTCCCTTCGATTTTCTTTGTTGGATTTCTATCGAACAAATCCCGAATCTATGTTTCAGCTCGGATGTGCACCGCACTTCTCTGGGAGCAGTGGGAAGAAACAACATTGCAACACAGAAGGTCAACGTCTTTCTTGCCGCCAACAAAGTCACACAAACACGGCACCCTGTAAAAAGTGCTGAATTTAGGCCAAGAATTGGCACTCGTGGCAAATGGTCCTTAACTCGCAGGTTGGAATGACCCTCATAAACCATCGCTGGTGGTTCCTTAAGGGGACCCCCAGGTTCATTTTCCCTCATTCCCTACCTATCGCATCAGCAAGTTTACTGAAATCAGTCCCCAAAAGCACCCGGGTTTTCATTCATCCCTTCCTTCTCCAAACCCTCGTGCTGGTTCCACAAAACGATTGTGCCCGCTACAAAGAAGCCCTGCGGACTTCTGAGGCCACGAGCTCCAACAGAGGCCACTTCAACATGACACGGATGACACATGCCCAAGAAGTAGCTATCCTTCAAACCCGGAAGTGAACACACCTCATTTCAGAGTCCCACCCCCTTCTTATACCCAAACCAAATGCCCAAGAAGTATCTATCCTTCAAAAAGGTGAATAAACACACCCTCTTGGAAGACCAAATTTAATTTTGGGCAACCAGCCCTGGTTGCAATAGGCGGCTTGACGATCCGCCTGGACCTTCCGTGAAAGACGAACCCTGCGCATCACCCGCCTGGCGCACCGTGGAGCCGATGGCCGAGCTTGTCGCCTGAAGCTGAACATTCGAGCGCGAGGCCGCGAAGGGTTTGGTCAGATCTTGAGAGGAAATCTAGGGGTACCTTCCATTTCCTTTCTTTCCAGGGATCCTTCTTTCAAAACAAAAAAACGGAAACCCAGGGAAACGGATCCGGTTATTGAAAAGAACGATGGTTGAAAAGAATGAAAAAGGAATCAACCGTTAGAGGAAAAAGGACCGCAGAGTCACCCCTTCTTGTCCATGGACCCCCCCCCCAAAAGAAGACACACCCAGTTGGTAGGTGGGTGCTTTTCTAAGGTTGGACCCCCCAAAAAGACTGGCGTCGGCTTGCCTTTTTGGTGTTCCTTGAAGAACAAGAGTGCCCACTTGGGGTCGCAAAAGGGGGCCTTCTGTGGGCCCTGGGACCATCATGTGTCGCTGTCAGGCGGTCCAGGTACTGAATCTTGATAACCACCCCCTCCATATGAATTGGAGACTTTGTTGCCAGAGCCTCCAAACCGGTGTCTGTTTTGGGCCCACCTCATCTTGACACTGGGTGCTCCTTCTGCACCTACCTCTGACAAACATCCGATATAATCATTGAATAAACACAGTCATTTGGTCGGAGCCCGGGTTGCTAAACACGCACCCCCATGACGCCTGGCTTCAAAGGCGGATTGAAACCTTGCCTCGATGGAAACAGCCCCTGATCTGGGTTGGAAAACGCACTGACACACAAGACCAGGGTTTCACTGGAAGCTTGGACCTTTTCAAACAATTTCCCGCTTGCATGTGTTGCATGCACTTCCCACGCTGTGTCGCTGAACCCCCTGGCGCGGTTTGGCTGTGAGACAACTTCCGCCCCCTCCAAACCACAGCGCGGCCACCTACACCAACACAAGGGGGCAGCGTCAACTACCTCAGCTTTTACCCCCTCACAAAATTTACTTCTGTTTTATTCAAGGTCATATGCGGTTTTTTGGCAAGCCTCAAAATCACCAAACCAAAACTCCCATCCACAAACATAGCTCCTCCAAGCCAACGGCCCCCTGGACCGGGGCTCTCATGTCGGACGGGGCATATGGCCATGGGTCAAAATCCAAATCGTACCCCCAGTGAACATCCCAATCCCCACTAATTAAAATAGGTCCTAAAATGGGTGGTGAATTCACCTACCAACCAAAATGGGATCCAAAACGGTTTTGACCCATGGCCATATATGGCCATATGAACGACCGCCGGTACGCCTGAGCTGCGGAGAACAAAAAAAACGACGTGGCCTCGCCTCCGCACAGGCCTGGATGGCATCCGCCAGCGCCTCAGAAATCATCGGAGCAAAGTCATTGAAAAGAAACCTGGTCATAGGCAGTCCTTTTGGGGAGAAAACGGGATGCCCTGGTAGATTGTGAAACCGGGTCAACCAGAGCCATTTTTTTTTTTACAAACATGACCAAAAAGAGCATAGCTATGCCTTGAACATGCAGCCTGCTGTTCAGTGAACCATGTCCAGACCTGTACATGAGATACCCCTGGGACCCTAAATCTACAGCTCAGCAACCAAACGGGAGCGAAGCTACCACATGTAGCTCAGCTTCAAGCTGCGCCATTAGGAAAACATGCGCATGCACGAAGCCTTTGTAAACGGGAGGTTGCAAACCAAAACCCTTAGCGACTTTAAAGGCGTCACAAGAGAACACACCTGGAATGAGCATATGCTGTTTTCTGGCAATTGTCCATTGGTGCATGGATTGATTTGACTTAAGGTGCGAACAAAGACACCCAAATTCACCGCCAGTCTTAACCCTTCCGCAGAACCATCTGGGGGGGATTGCTTCAACATCCTCCAACCATGTGCTATCGCTGCCATGCGTGTCATGAATTTCGGGAGGCACGTAACCCTTCGTTCAAAGACCCAGTACTGCCACAAGAATCTGCGAAAAGACCCATTGCCAACCCGGCCGATTGTTCCTGCAAATCCAATGCAAGGTCCATCTGCTCGGAAGATCTATCTGCCACGTAGCGGATTTCGCTAACCAGGCCGAATGCAATGTCCGTCTCTTGGTCGACGTTGGCAGGGGAGCAACGATTTAAATTTTAGCAGTTAAGTGGGGATTTCCTTCTAAACCACAATAAGCAAAAATGTAAAATGTTTCCCAACAACAACCATGATCAGCTCCCTTTCGTCAATTTCAGCGGAAGAGTGCGCTGCGGGTTCTGAGCGATCGACGCGCCCGCTTGCCAGACATGATTCCGTTCACTAGGGTGACTCCACAAAAGAACTATGACCTAGGCTAGTGCTGCACAAGCAAAAAGAAGAAGGTTACAACTATTTACTCCTGTCCGTGCCATGGGAAAATACTGTCCAGGGTGAAGCTAGAGTGTGCATGTCCCCTTTTTGCCGGTAAGATGAATGATGGAGCCTATATGAGCTGCGACCAAACCCCACTAATGTCTACTCAGATGGCTATACAGCTTGAAAGGGCCCTTTCTACAATCCTTGTTAAACTGAAACCACGTCGTGAAACCACCTTGTAAGACGGACAATAGGAATCGGCTTGGGCGCTCAAAGCGGTACGGGCATGGCCATTGTGCCGTTCTCGCACGTGAGCCACGACAAACTCACTGCTAAGCTTGTGTCTTCAGTTACCATATAGGTCACTTTGACGATCGTAAAACTCGCAACTTTATATCATGAATTCCCCTGATTCCTTACTAACTAGGCTGCCTACTACTCCCTTGCTAAAGCACATGAGCACAAGACAACGTTGAAGCCTTACCTGAAATTAGACCACAAGAAGATCAACAATTCAGATCCGGTCGATTCGTCCCTGCAAGTGATAGTGGAACATCCGGTTTCATGTTGCTCTTTCCTCGGAATCGCACCAAAAGAAGCCTCGCCAGCCGATGGGAAAAGAAGCCTCTCGTATCCCAGGCCAAAATCTGTTCATTGAGGATCCTGAGTGCATTGGCCACAAGGAGTCAAAGCTTAGTGCTTCCAGCTACCAGCTTAGTAGGACACCAAGGGTTGGGTTACAGGAAGCATTTACAGGGAAGGGCAATGTCCTGTAGATTGTCCTGTAACGAAACCCTTTGAATGATGCAAAACGCGGGCAGTGAGGAATCGAAAACATCCAGCCCCTTGAACCCGCCCTTTCAGCCGCGGCACCTCTTCCACCTCCTCCTCGGCCAAACCTGGCCGGGGCTCCTGGCGCAGGCGGTGGGGTGGTCAAAACCACCTGCCCAAGCTGGCCTGCTCAACAAGAAGCATCATTCTGGGGGTTGAGTCCTTTTCAAACCATCGCTTTTGGGGGGGGTCCATGGACAAGAAGGGGTGACTCTGCGGTCCTTTTTCCTCTAATGGTTGATTCCTTTTCCGTTCTTCTCAACCATCGCTCTTTCCAAAATCGGATCCGTTTTCCCCGGGATTCCGGAGGTCTAGAAAGATCCGGATCCCTGGAAAGAATGCAGATGGAAGGTACGCCTAGAATCACAGGGGCTCTGCAAGGGGCTATGTCATGGCGAGAGTGCTTCGAGCACGAACCCCAAATCAGATTCTCATCTCTCAAACCGCAACTAAGAGACCTCAGAGATGAGCCAAACACTCCGTTCTCGTCCAGGTTGCTTGGCCTTCTGAACATCCTCCGCCTCGACCGCAGAAAGCTCCCCCTAAAGCCCCTTTTCCACTCATTGTTTCTCATGGCCATGTCACAAATATGCCGTGTCGTGTTTTTTTCAAACATATGCTTAGAAGGGTGGGAAAAATAGCTCAAACAAATACCCATACACTTTTGGTTTCCTGGACGAAGTATAGGCTAGGATGGCCGGTTTCCTTTCCTTTCCCTTCCAAAAACATCCACTAAGGTGTGTGTCGGCCTTGAGCAACCCCGCACATCCCTGGTTTCTTTGGCACCCAAACCACTCCCCCGCTCCGAATTCCTGGCGTCTGGCCAACGGAAAGTCCGGGTCCGGCGCGAGGTGCCCTGCCGAAGGCTGGATCTCAGTTTCGTTTTGGGTTTAAATGGCATTTGAGTCATACTCAAAACCCGGTATTAAAATGGTCGTAATCCCAGAACCATGTCTCAAGAATTAGGAAGGCGGCCGCAGCGATTTATGGTTGGGATTATCCCTGACTAACCTTCGTCTACCCGGGCTTTGATTGTGGCTCATTTGGGTTTTGAAGGGAACCCTGAGTTCCATGAAGAAAAGGTCCATTTACTCATTTGGGTTCAAATATGTTTAAAGGGAAAGCAGTACCCACAAGAGGGATCAACCCATTGGGCAAGCTGGTATTCATGGCAGTTATGGTGAATTCACCGCAGTTGATGGCTTAGTATAGCAAGGACTATCAACAACTTCTTTGAGACACTGATCGGCAAGCGGCAAGAGTTCTCACATATTTCTGACAATACGGTGACAGCCCACCAGGGCCATATAAGGTGTCCAGCCTCGCTGCTACAACTCCAACCCAGTGTTTCACTTGGCTGTTACCCCAGTCGAAGGCGCATATTCGGGCTTTCCTTCAACGTGGCCATGGTTTGGTTCAAAAGCGGACGATCGAGTTGCCCCTGTTTGGCATTGGCCACTGTAGGGAGCCATCCGACCAATAGGTGTGTGTGTGTGTGTGTGCGTGTCGTCGAGGGAACTGCACTTGCGCTTGATTTGTGCAAGGAAACCAAAGCTGAAAACAAGGGAATTCTGTGTTGACAATGCTTAGCACGTAACCCACCAAACAGAACTTGAGTTCGGTTGTGACCATGTTTGGCAGGCCCATCAAACAGAACCCAAATTTGGAGCTTGCCACGAAACAGGGACCCCCTTCATCCGTTTGAACCCCGACTCGCCAAAAGACTCGCCGCGTCGAACCAAACTCGCCAGCTGGGCGGATAGCCACCTTCACCGGCACCTCAGAGCTGTCGTCACTGGTGGCAACATGTGCTGCGAGTCTACGTGGCAGCAAAGCAAAACAACACCGGCAGGTCTACGATCAGCTTCCCCCCCATTTGGTTTGGTTTGGATTTGGTTTGGAGTCGAAGAAAAATATATACCTGGAGCACCCTTCGTTACATAAATTTCTGCCCTTAGCCCAAACGTATTGCAAAACCAGGGGTCGTCACCAAAATATGGTAAACGTACACTTTTTCCTGCTTCGAGCGTTTTTCCCAAAACCGGGCTGGTCGGTCCTCCAAGATGCTCGGTCGCTGAATATTCAAAAGGAGCGAGCAAAAATCAAAGTGCAAAACGAGCGCAAATATCCACAAAACGAGCGCAAATATCCGCAAACGAGTGCAAATTTAAAAAGCGTAACAATCCCGCCTTCCTCTGGATGGAAGAAGGGGATGTGATCGAGCGTTTTTCGGGGGGGCGAGCGTTTTTTGGGGGGTCGAGCAGAAATCGGTAATTCGAGCGTTTTTTTCTCGTACCTAAAAAAAAAGGCACGTTGGGTGCCTCAGGTATATATGCATTTTTAGACATGATGCCAAAAAGGTTCACAGACCAGCATACGGGGATGCATAAATGGGAGCATGATTATCTCAGGAGGTAATTTGGTGTCATAGTACTCCACGACCCTGTTCTAGCGGAAAAAAAAGCCAAAATATCAAGAAGTGCTATGGCCTCAAAAACAGCACCCACGTCAATGACACTATATCTTGGGGCCGCCTGTGTTTGTTCCTGGAGTGACTGGCCACTCAGCCGTGACCTCAGGTATCCGACCAGATAACACAAAAAACTGGCGCTAAAACCCAAAAGTCGCCTTCAGAGGACCTGAAATTGGAAAGGGAGCCGCCCACCAAAGCACCTTCATCGCTCTAGAAACCGTTTTGGATGCACCTTTTGTGGATTTCACCTGTGTTTCCCCCTGTTGGTCCTTTTTTAGTACTCTTTTAGTACTCTTTTAACCTTCTACAGGGGTGGAACCACAAAACCACATCCAAACCGCTTTCTAGAATCGCGGGTGAGCATGTGTTGCCCCGGGTAAGCTTGCAAATTGAAATCATGTGCCCAAAGCATTGAGCGGAACTCGGCGTGATTGTTCGAGGGCGAAATACGAAAACGCCATTCCGAAACTCGCACAAGATGGTCGTCTCCATGTTTGTCTGGTCCTTGACAGTGCTCTCTCCGCTCAGTAAGCGAAAGGATGCGACGTTTTTTTACACTTTCTGGTGGAGTGTGCCATGAATCCCGGATTTCCTAGGGACGGGGGATCAAGCCAACATGCCGCGTGCATCTCGGTTGTTTTCAGCAGGTCTGCTACCATTCAGAGCTGGCAGCTTCTTACTCTTTTGCCAAGCCCTGATGGCTTCAACCCCCTTGGCACCAGAAGCCGAGAAAGGAATCAGCAAGCTCACTACGAATATTGGGAACTCAAAACGGATGCCATTTGTATGGGCGCCACTAATTGATCATTGTCAATGCCACACCCCAAATAGTAGCTCAAAGGGAAACAGCCGGAAGCTTCAGACTTTGATACCAGCCCAGAAATCGAACAAGTGATTTCGCATCGCCGAGTGATCTCTCATTCCAACCGAGGGCTATGGGACAAGCCAAGTTAAGCCCCTAAAGCAACTTCTGAAAGCTTCTGCTGGGAACCTCGTTGGCCCAAATAAGTACACCGAAAGCCATGCAGAGTATATGTTTCACAGTTGGTTCATAATTCTACTGCAAAATATGGGTGCGGGTCAAAAATAGGGTACCCCCGAAATGGCTTGCCCTGATAAATGGCAAGGGCATTCAAATCTGCCGTCCAATTCCTGGTGTGCAGAATGTTGACCCATACCCATATAAAACAAGCTAGTAAGTCTACCTTTGGTCACCTCCTACTTGGCCCAAAATCACGGCAAACACCATGTATTCCAAACATGCTTCACACTTGCTTCACATTTAAAATTATACTGCAACTAGGTCCTCAGTAGTGAGGTTGGAGCAAGGGTACCAACCTTTTTCTGTAGTCTATTTTAGTAGGGTCCCGAACCCTCCCAACAAGGCTCGAGGATGGCACGGAGGACTGGTCCTCCAACGCCACGCGGCAGCAACCAGCATCGCGGTCAACGTCAAGCACGACCTAAGGCTCGGAAGCTTGTCCTTCCAGAGGAGGAGTTGTGTATATAGACAAGCCCAGCTCAGAAGCTACAACGATTTGTCGTCCATCTCCAAAAATGCGGATGTTTGTTCATGTTTTTTGTTGAGCTGGAAAAGTGAAGTCTCCACAGTGGCAAACGATTTCCCAAGGTAGTGAGACTCTACGTGCATGTGTTTGTGCATATTGGCAAGACCTCAACGTGGATGTGTGCTACGAATTATCTTCGAAGCTGCGTGGACACACATTTGCATAATCGTATAGCCCACTGTTGTCAAAGGAGCCCACACACAAAACATCCGGACTCAAAACCAAGAAGGTTCTAGCAGCACCGAGCAGAAAGTCACGTCTACAAACATGACTTGTTGGGCCCACGCTGTTGTTTCTCTTCTTGTTTTCTGGGGGGGGGGCTGTGCATTCCCAACGCATCACAATCCAACCAGCCATAAGGCATAGTATCTTGCAGGGCTTTTTCTAGGTGTCTGCCCTCTTTCCCAGAATTATGAGAGTGCTCTGGCAGCCTATCAAAGGCCTCGTGTCACTTCCATGAGTGCGTGGTGGACTTCATTGGGTGCGGACTTATTCGAGCACCAACCATTCTCACACTTGAAACGTGCCGAACTTCCGTCTTTCAACAACAAGCAAAGGCGGACCCGCCAGAGGACAACATGACAAACGATATCTCATTGCTTGATTTTTCAAGGGAACCCCTGTCGTTCGCACCCTGCTGCTTTGATAAAGCAGAACAGAGACACCTCCCATTTGCTGATTTGCTGCTGAACACAAAGTAAAGATCCTTGTCTGGCAGGCCCATTCAGTTCAGCCCCCTGAACCCCCCCAGATCCTTGAACAAATCCTTTCTAGAAACCACATGAGCCATGGCTCAAAGCTCCACTCTGTGGGCGATGGATGACCGTCCCTACCAAATGCCACAGGCTTCTGCATGTTGCGCCCCGGAAAAAACAAATCACCCAAAGAGGACACTCTGCCAAGATTGGATTCTCGGCCAAGTTTCGCTTGTGGTTAGCGACCCGAGGGGGAGGGCCCAGGGCCGCTACTGTGGATGGACGAAATCCTGCACCATGTTGAAACCATAGGAAGCCATTGTTGGTTGGTATGTACCAGGGAATCAGGATTCCCAGGTTTCTCAGGTGGTGCGTTGGATGGACTTCGCAACCATCCACAGTAGACCCAATGGACCCCCGTGGCCGAAGCTTCGCCTTCGAGGCTCCAGCCCCGCGGCTGCCAGCGCTGATGCCGCGGCTCAGCACCACCTCTCGCGCACGCGTTGCTCGCGCGCGCGTGGCTCGCTCGGGTCAGGTTTCCTTTAGGCTACCATCGCCCGGGTCCCGACTTTTCGGCGTTTGAACCGTGCCCCAGAATCCCAAGTGTGCAAGAAGCAGCGGTGAAGAAAGTGCTGGTTGGTGAGGGTTCTTGGTGAGACCCCATTTTGGGTCATGTTGTGGTTGGCCGCTCTACTTGCTGGTTCCCAGCTTTGGGAATGGACCGCTTCGGGATGCCCTGCCTGAAGAATACCCCGGCAATTCCCTCATTCTTTGCTTTGAAAGTCAATGCAAAGGATTCCTCATCACACTTCCCAGCTGATCTAGTGGATCTTTCGCGTGTGACTCCTCGGAGTATGGTCCTCCGGGTTGATATGACGTCAACACAAGTCCTTTCGCAGCCTTTTTGTTGGACGGGGTTGCGCATGCCAAGAAAAAGCAACTTTTTAGATAGGCCCGACACCTTTTCCCGGAAGATGGTACCCTGCTTGAAGTTGTTTCATAGCTTATAGGGAAGACCCAAAGGTAAAGCATAGGGGCCCCCGTTAAAACGGGTTGCTTGCGATATCCTACTTTGGGACAACCCAAAAGACCCTCCCTATTGCCAAAGGCTCCCGGACAGCTATCCACAAAGGAGACTCTCGCACAAAGATGGCAAGAGCTCTTTTGCGATAAGGGCGGGTACGTCAGCCAAAGGGACAGAGAGTACAAATGTAAGCCGTGACAAAAAACTGCTGTGGCTCATTGGCGTGCGGAACAACAAACTAAGCACGTGATCTCACTGACATAAATCCACGAGTTTCGTGTACGGCCAAACGCGTGTTGCCGCGAAGCTGCCAGCCACGCAAACTGAGAGCCGCACAACCCGCGTTCCCGCAGTCAGCGACATCAGGCCCAGGGGCAAGCACAAATTAGATGCGACTCTTGGTCAACTTGGAGGTCACAGTGCTGGCTGGGACTTTTTGGCAGCCAGAAAGAACCAACCCGTGAATTCTGTTCAAGCCCACGCTCACTGTTCATGGGTCAAGCCAGAAACTGGAACTTTACTGTCAGCCACTTGCGGTGACTTTGACGGGAGGATCCAGGGTCAGTATTACTCTCGACCAGGGTTTGTGGGACCACTGGCCTCTCCAGGACTCCAACAACTCATGGTTCACTTGCCCAAGGGAAAAATAGGGGCCCAAGTCGGCAAATCCCATTAGTCACGGATGCAATCTAAAACATCCGGACCCAGGTGCTGCTAGGTCCAATACAGTATCATGGGTTATGAATCACTTTGAAACCCAAAGAAGTTGGTTGCATCGGGTTTCTTCACAATATCTATATATTTGTGTAAATATGGATTAATATACAAATATATATATATATATATACATAATTATATAATGTATTAGTTGTGTCATCATTTGGCCCCCGTGTATTAATCATGTCTAGCACTTGACTGAAGTTGGACACTCTCACATATGATGCTAGCCGGTGAGGGAGACCGCACGCAAACTACGCAAATAGCAAGGGGCTGACATTCTGTGAAATCATAGGAGGCAAAAGCCAGCATGGGTGCAAGTATGGGGCCAACGCGTGTTCTCCCTGGCCAGTGAAGGGACTGCTGGTGGCAAACGCCAAGGCGTGACGCTGTCCCCTCTGGGTATCATGATGTGCCATGCTGCTGTGACTTCGAATGTATGAGCCCTTGGCTGCGTGTCCAAAGCAATGCACATTTCCACAAACAAACTAGGAACACAACCAAATACCCTCGCACCAACGAACATGAAACTTAAAGTGCAAAAAGGCTCTTTCCAAGGGGGAAAGTCGTCTTTCTACAGGGGTCTGTGCACTTCCATGTTAGCTGGTGGGAGGGTAAACAAAAAGACAAAAAGAAAGAACATCCAAACATGCAGCAAACCAACACACCCATCCGACCAACCGACCGACCGACCAACCGACCAACAAGCAAGCAAACAAACGGGCCTTTGTGCCGTGGTCCATCTTGAGATGAAGCGGTTGGCTTTCCGCAGTTTCATGTGTCTGTCTGTTGTTTGAGGGTGCCCCTCTTGGACGGGTATTCAACGGAAGCACAAGGAAACCAGCCATGTTTAGGGATCGGATCCATTGGATACGCAAAAAGGGTCAAACTTCAGGATCCATCCGTAGGCATTTTGGCTCAAGCCGTTTCTGATCAAATCAACTCCACTTTCCAACACACGTTCTCGCGCATCCTGGTGGATCCTGTGAGGCTTGGACCTTTTTGGGTATCCCTGGTACATTTACATTGAAGAAACACCATGCCCGTGGTAAGTGGAATAGAAACCCCAACCCCACCCACCCCCACCCCACCCCCCACTATCTAAACCAGTGGAACTCATCTATGTTCAACCAAACTGGCCAAAGAAGGCCACCTACGCCCCCAACCCCTGCCCAGTGCTTCTAGTTACCACTATAGTAGCCTAAGGGAAACCATCTTAGAGGTAAACCAGCAAGACGTTGCCACACAAAGGAACCTGCAATTATGTCTGCAACTCCCACAGGTACGGGTCTCCCCCTCCACCAGGTCCGTCTTGAAGTTCTGAAGGAGGCGCAAAGCGGCCCCCACTTGCAACTAAACAAGTGCACTCTACTTAGGCCACTGCAATGCCTCCCTTTCTCCGCTAAGGGGAATCTACTCAGTGGACATCAAGTTTCCCATGCCCGAACCTCTTGGAAACAAGATCCAGGGGCCTCTAGAACCATTTCCCCCTTTCGTAGCATTCGGGCGATTCCACGTCCCCCGGGCGATTCGGCACCCGCATCGGCCTCTCTGGCCTGCTTGCAATCCCAGCCTGGCTCCAGCAGGCCCGAAGATACGTACAGGGTTCACAGTGTGCGCCCCGGCACAGGCCAGGCTAATGCTGGGCAGACAATACGTGCCCCAACTGCCAATTGCCAAAGCGTGGACAAAGGGATGCCAAGGGTAACGGCCCAAGGGTATGGGTTTGGTTCCCTGATTAGATGTATACGCAGGGATTCCCCTGTTCCTTCTTTTATTGCTCCGGATTTGGTTGCTCCATGGTGCCCTTGTTTCGCCGTTCCCTGTTTCCCGTCTTCTCTTGTTTCGTCATTCCACAGTTCCTGTCCCGCGTTGCCTTGTTTGGGTGTGTCTCAAAATAGGGAATCCCAAAATGGGTGGCTTCCGGTATGTTTCCCCTTAAAACAAACCCAAAAAGCATACAGTATCCAGAAAAGGCTCTCGTTTAGTTTGCCCTCCTTTCAACCATTAGCAAGCCTTTTGCCACTTTGGTGAAGCAACCAGCTCCGAGCAAGTTGGCCGAAAGTCAAAACTGCATATCAGCTTCCCACAGGCTATCAAGTCCAGAAACTTGGAAACTAAGAAATCGGAATGACAGCCGAATGCGTGTACAATGAGATGCCAAGCAAACTGAATCGTGGCCGATGTTTGCCGGCTAGTTCATGGCCAACGCGGCCCCGGTACACGTGTTTCGTTCCAGTGCCACTAATCGCATTCGGTACCGAGCCGCGCGTGTTCGACATCTGCTTGTGCCAGCTTCAAATTATGTTCACTATCTGTGCAAAGTCGATGTTATCACTGGGTCTGGGTGTGGGATTCTTGTTGACGAGACGGCTAGGGTTGGCATGGATCAAGGCAACATGACATAGCTATGAAGCACATCGGTATTTGCCAATATATGTTCGAAGTTCAAAGCATTGCCTAAAGCTGACTGACAAACAAAAGAAGAGCTACAATGGAACACCCTGGCGAACCCCCCCCCCCTTTCTTCTCATCAGGGACTTGCAGAAATCATGGACTTGCCAAACTCAGGATGATCTCGAAGCGTTAAAACATGAAAGCCCTCTTGCAAGGCTGAAACCAGAGCTTGCCATTTTATGTTGGCACCCTTTAAGGGGAACAGGAAGACCCCTGACAGTGCAGAAAGGTTTGGACATTAGAGCAACCAACACGGTCTTGATGATCCAGAAAAATGGTCAGTGGTCCCAACCCGGTCCACGCTTCCTTTTTCAGTGCATCGGACCTGACCCGTTGGCCCCAAACTGGAAGAATCCCCGAACAGGGCAGGACGTATTAAGCCTCAAGCAAGCTTCGTGGCCCTTGCGATGCAACAGCGGAAATTGGTGCATGACCTTTTTGTCACTTCAAACACAGATTCCGCGAGGTTGTCATTGGGTGACACTTTTTTGGGTTCTAACTTCTTTGGGCTGCCAGACGCACGTCCCTCGGTGCAAGCTGCAGCCCGTTTACTAGACCCCAACACCAACCAAAAGTCAGCTTCGCTATGAGTGGCCCCAACAAATCCAAAACCCAGGGGCTCGCCTACCTGCTCTGGGATGGCCTGAAGATTGGTATTCAAACGGAAACCAAAACAAACACAACTGCAAACCAACCATTTTAGGGAACCCTACTTAAAGAAACACCGAGATGGTGAGGAAGCCCTAGTAAGGGCTAAGAAAGGAGGGTTTAATTGGGGGAGGTAGCTTACTGCTCAGAAAACTCCTGGACAATCTTCAGCTGGGTGAAACATGGCACCATTCCAAGCCATGTTTGGCTGACGTGCAGCCCCTTCCCCACATCTAGCCGGAATCGTGCCATCTACTTTTGCCCTTGGGTGGTCTGAAAAAAACGACAAGTACCCATCTCGTGGGTTCCTTTTGGGTAAATCAATGGGCGATGGATCTTACCCAGTGGCACCATGCACAACAGCCTGCTGCCAGCAGCTCCGACCTCCATCCAGCGGCCATTGGTTGGTTGGATGCTCAAAACACATGATGAAAAGGACACGCCCGCAACTCCGTTTTCTGGACTAGGTCCTCCAGTGGAGAGGTTAGAATAAGGGTGCCCTTTTTTCCTGTAGTCTTTTTAGGGGAACCCTCCCCCAAAAAAGGGCAAAAGGGCACTACTGGGGGAGCTAGTGGCTGCTTGACTTTGAACAACAACCATATAAACAAAAAAAACAAATGCCGCTGGGTCCAGCCGTGCAACAAGTTCAGGGTATGTATGGTTTTTGCATCGAACAACTGGTGCTGCAAGGAATTCGTGACAGTAAACTACGTTGCTCACACTGAGGCAAAACATCCCACCTGACACAGTCAGGCAACAAAGTAAACAATGCTCTTTTGGTGCGCAATAAAACGATGGTTCAGCCCACGTGCATGCATCCGGCTCCACTTCAAAGCATAGCCGCGCAATATATTTCTGACTTCTTGTGCCCAGCCCTTGTGCAATAAAGCTGTGGTAGTCACGTGCCAGCTTCCGCAAGTCCAGCTTCTGCACCCGAACGGGAGCCGCTGCTCCATACATCGGACTCGCAAGCATCACCCAGCAGCCTTGGCTGCTTCAGATTCAAGCTGACCACCAACACCTGCAAGTTGCTCTCCATGACTTTGGGAGCTCAACAAATGATGTTGCTGGCTGTTGCTCGGATCGAGGAATTTCCACGAGCTGCACGCCCACAGTGACACACAGCGCACGATCACAGTCAAACAGCACTTGCCCCACATGTGGGGTACAACAGGTTCAGTTTCATCAAACGTATTGAAACAGTTTTGGAGACCACAGTTGAGTTCAGCATGCTGAAACTTGAAGACAATGGCACTGACGCTAGGGAACATGCCCGGGTGTTCGCTTGTCCACGAAAGCGGACACATCGCTTGTGCGGAAAACATGCTCTGATAGAAGCTCCAACCGCGTTCCCTATAGTTCCCCCGTAAACATCACCCCACTGAAAAGGGGACTCACTTGAAATTGCGCCCAAAAGGTGATTTAAAACAACAGCATGTGGGGCCCCCTTACCTGCTTCAGCCATTCAACAGCTGGGTGCTGGACATGCTGGACCAGTTTCCGCAACTACACAAACATCCATGCAGCAGTTCTCTGAATTCATTCTCCCGACTCCTGCCGTCAAAGTGGAAAGGAAAAACCAAGACGTCCAAGTGTCGATTAGCTGACAGCTATGTCGCCATTAATAGGTTACCCTTCCTTTCAAGGACATTGGTCTTCCAGGTGCCCTCCCACAAATACTATGTTAGTGGGAGGAAGGGTACCTAGAGGAGTCTGAAAACCTTGCACAGGTTCTTGTCGCAATCGTGTCCTGCTCCCACCACTTCGTCTAACACCAAGTCACTGTGTTTCTGCCCATAGCACTGCATTGTTTGATGCTTCCAAAAGACATCTATTTGGACCCCTGTTCCTGTCTACCCAGTTTCTGCTGTCAAACAACATCCCCCACGTCTGTGCTAAACACGCCGCAAAACCACCTCCATGTTTGGTGGACTTTCGCAAAGTTACCCAAAAACGGAAAGGCTGCTGTCGCTGACTTCGTCTGTCGGGTGTGGGGGTCTGAGAGTCTAGGGTCATAAATAATAGGGTAACCCCAAAATGGGTTGCCCTGGTGCATGGAAAGGACATTTCAACCTGCGGTCCATATCCCGCTGGTTTATTTTTTTTACGACCCACCTCATCACCTCATGGAACCGTCTCTCCAGTCAAAAAAAGTCCAGGGCCCCCAGCACTGGGACGCCCCCGTTCAGCAACTCCTTGGCAGTGCAGACGTCCATCAGCTCCGCGGCACTGCACCCTGCCTGGCCCAAGGCGTGCACGCAAACTTGGTTGACGTTGGAAGGGGAGCAACAATTCTCAAATTTTAGCAGTTAAGTGGTTAGAATTCGACCACTAAACCACCATAGGCAAAAATGTAAAATGTTTCTTAACAACAACCATGCAAAGGTGAGACAGTGGGCCTGCATCCTACCGACCAACTCATCGTAAGCCTTGTCCCAACAGACAAAACGGAAGCCCGTAACGTCACCCAACAGGTCTTCCGTTGACAAGGCAAAGAGGAGCCGGTCCGCCAACTGCTGATGCCGACAGCGCGTGCACCCCAAAGGCAGCTAGGATAAGCAAGGCGCCAAAGTGTTGGCCGACCACACCAGCTTGAGAAGCCACATCGAGGCACAGGTGACCGAAATGGACATCCGGGACGACGCACCAAACCGGGACAAACGCGGTTCTTTGCATTTTCCGGCACCAGGAACACAACATGCAGAAAATGGAATGTAACATGGGTGCGACATCGCGTCTGTGTCTGTCTGAAAGCAAGGGAACCCCTTGAACGAACGAGTGTTCTGTGGATTCCCGTTCAAACGCTGCGACACAGAACACACAAGTCTGGAAAATAGAGTGCAGATGTGTTTTTTTCAGGGGAATCCCGCCGGTGTTTCTCCCAGTTTTGCACTCTGTTGATGTTCATACATCCTTCCAGGGGTCCACAAAGGCGAATCTTGCCTTTAACCGAACACAACACGCGGGGCCTGAGGATTTATGTTCGGGGTGGGACTCCGCAAACACCTGTTTGGGTAAACTTGGCTTGCCGAAAGGGGCCTTCCATTTCTGGCCCCCATTGATTTAGCAGACCTTGACAACGCAAGCCGGATGAAGAAATAAGATCCACCTGTTCCACCATTCCGCCAAAAACCAGGCTCATCCAAGTGGTTTGAATGCCCTTACGGTGATATATGGCTGAATTGAATGCACACAAATTCTCCCTCATGGAATGCGAAATGAGAAGTGCCATGCTCTCTCGCAGCACCGATAATCACCCTCAGTGGCTGCAAGTTCAGGGTTCCCCATAGTTGCGAAGACATCTCTCCAGTGTCGAAATTGGCAACACACGGGTCGCCTCTCGTAACGCTGCGCAGTCATAGTTGGCCTTCTTCAACTCTCCTACAGTCCTCAGAGCCGGCCACCACCGCATCGCATGCGAACGTCCGAGTCAACAAAAGAAGCCACCAGACCACACTCCAAGACTTGGCCCAACTCTGGGGGATCCAACAAAGCACATGCTCAGGTTCTGCTTTGTACTTAGGCTACCATAAAAATATATGATGATGTTGGAGGAGACTCCAGTTGAGGGAAACCGTGGGAATTTGCCAACCAACCCTATATCCAAGCTAGCGGGCCAGCTTCCCAAGGGCTTTCCCGCAGGCGTGTCGTCCGTGCAGACTAGCCCCTGAGGCTTGTCTCCTGCATCCGTTAGTGGCTGACGGAAAGCGACAGACTCTTTCAATATTCAGGAAGATAAGGGAACGCTATACCCGCCACATCACCATTTCTTTGACGGAAGTCCTGCCTCGACTGCCCATCGAAACCTTCCGGTTCACAAGTTCAAGTTTATTTCTAGGGGGTAATCCCAGCCGTAGAGACAATGCCTCTGGATTTGGACCATGACTTGCGACATTCCCAATATACTTCTATTGGCAATATGGGATCACTTCGATAAGCGTCAATCTGTTGGCTCGGCCTGCCAAAAGTGAGCTCGTTGTAGACTAACGTTTGTGCCAACATCACACTTCATGGGTGTTGCACACAGGCAGACAGTCGCTCTACGCACAAAACTTGCTAAAATCCACTGTAACAAGTGGGTGTGGGCAAGGCCCAACCTAGAGCAATTATCGGAGTCGGAGCAGAATGCTCAACACACAAAACCGCCATCGAGTTCTCTTGTGATTCTTGAAAAAAACAGCAGACAAACCTGTTGTTCTGTAGAATTGCCTAGACTGGTGTTGGGCATTGGTCAAAGTGTTGCACCGCCGGGATATGGACCACAGGTTTCAGTGCTTTCCATTTGCCAGGGTACCGCTCCTCCCACAAACATGGCACCTGGAAGATCAGCTTTTGCTCTTGGGAGCCTCTGGCAGGTGCCATGTGGGAGAGAGGGTACAAAAAAATCACCAGTTGGGTGTGTCGTCTTGGTTTTCCTTTAGACCAGCAGAACAAAAGGGTACCTGGACCCTCAATTGTCCCTTGAACATGTGCTATTTTCCCCTAAAGTTGTGGGGTGGGGTGCCTTTTTCATGGGTCTGTGGGTTCAGGTCCCCGAGAAAAAAAATAAAAAAAAAAGAAAACACACACACACAAAAAAACATGGGTTTGAAGGGTTCAGGTCCCCGCAAAAAAGAAAACAACAACACACCCCAACTTTTCAGCCTTCAACTTCGGACTGAGGACCGTGGCCAGCCCTCTTGCCGCAGCTCTGAAGCTGTGCCGAAGTCGGGGCCCACCTGAAAACTGGAGCCAGCCCCACATGGGTCATTCACCCGTTGTTGGGACCCAGGCAGTATATATAATATGTATATATATATATGTATAAATATATGTATGTGTATATACTTGTGTATATATATAATTGTATATACCATATATAATTATACAAACATATAGATATAGACATGAGTACCAACGATCGACCCGTTTGGAAGCGACATTTGGGCAATTGCACACATGGAATTGGTGTGGCTTTGGGTGTAGTTCCTGGATGAATTCAGCAAGCTCTGCCCCCCACGCTTGGTTTGCACTACGTATGCGATGACCAAAATATCAGTACCTGACCAAACACGTGTGAGTGGCTCGTTTCCCGAGCTCAAATCACTTGCCCCAATTCATCAAAGTCACAGACCTGAGTGACACTGAGAGGTAGGTCAAAGGAAAGCAGCCCCAGTTTCTGACTATGATGCCCCGGAACTACAGCCCACATGAGCCTGGCGATACCAGTGGCTTTCTGTTTCCTTGGGTCTTCCTCTTACAGGGCTGCCATTGTTCGACTCTTCCCAGGACAAACAAGTGCGTAGACTCACTTCCTGAGTGGATGGCCAGAATGCCACTTAGATTGTCTTTCGAAAGTACCAAGTCCGAAACGGAACTCGGAAAGTGAGCAGATGACATTCCAAGGGTCATCCCCTTCCCCAACTCGCGTGGAGCAGGCTCGCCGCACTTGGCGGAAGTTCCATCAGGCTCCACGAAAAACTCGGAGCAAAAGGAGTTTGGTCTGACCTCGTAACATGTTGGCCTTATCGAGCATTTGCATGAAACCCAAACAGAGCTCCTAAAAAAACGATGAGGACTATGACTTTAAATGGGGAACCCATCCAAGATGGACGGTGATTGTAAATCTCCAATTTTGCCCACGCAAACCGAACTAATAATGCGGGGTTGTCCCAAGCAAGGGAACCCACAAAATGGTTGAGTTGGCTTCGCATTGGTTTACCGTCCACAAAAAAAGCGAACAAACTCTATACCCACACGCCTTGAATTGTGCCTTCCGTGTTTGGGCATATGAGCGCCGATCCGCCGTGAGCTTCCTTTCAGCAAAGCGGTTGGCGAGTTTGGCTGTCGTGAATCCGGGCATGTTGTGAATGGGGGCCAACAAGAACCAACGCAGGGGGCGTTTCGGAACAAGAGCACCAGTGCTCTTGAGAGTTGTTAAGCGCAACACATAGAAACACATGACCACACTTCGAGTCCCCCTTCTGAAACCACTGCAAATTCAACCAACAAAAAAGGCTATAGATTTGTCGTGCTTGGTGGGGCTTCCAGAAACCGCCATACTGTTCGACATCGCATGAAACCATCATGTATTACCTAGAGGCAAACATACCTAGTCGTTGTTGACAACATGTTAAAAGCTATATATTCAAAAGGGACCGCGTCTAACCCACAAAAATTGGGTAGTGGTTTGAGCCCCTGACTCAAATGTCAAAGACCCCCTCACTGACCCTCAGACCAAACCCCAAAAAAGAAACATATGACAGCTAAGCCTATCATGGGCTTGGGGCATGTTCCAGGTCTGGCGGTTGAAGCCCCTTACTGTACTCTGCGGCTTGTCATCTGAATGGGGCATATTCAATTAAGGGCGGCACAACCTATGAAACGACGCGTCGACGCGTAATTACGCCCATGCCAGGCGCACCCTCCTTCTCCTCATGCCCATCGCCTTTCGGAGAAATCGGCTAAGACGAGGGATCCATTTGGCCATGGGTCAAAATCCAAGTCGGTTACCCCCAGTGCACATCCCAATCCAAACGCTAAAATCGGTTCTAAAATGGCTGGTGAATTCACCTAGGATCCCATTGCTTTTGAAACACAGCCATTTGCCTGGAGAAAGAACAGGTGGGTATGGAACCTTTCAGGGTCCATGGCTAGGTCTACAATAAGGGTACCTTTTTTTTTCTGTAGTCTATTTTAGTAGGGGAACCCTCCCCCCAAAAAAAGGGGGTAAAAGTGTACTACTGGGGGTCCTAGATGATGAGAGGTGGGTATGGAACCTTTCAGGGTCCCACGGTGAGAGGGGAACTGGGATCGCCCGCGGGCTGGTGTTTGATACTCCTTTCACATACCTTGGGTAAATGACCTCAAAGGGGTATACACCTCTTACCCAGAACACGGTGTGGTCAAACACTTGGCTGGTGCGATAGGAACGAGAAATAGAACGACACCGATTTGAACAATCCCCCATAGCTTCCTTTAAGTGAATCCCAAGCTTCATTCCGTCATTCCCTGGTGAGTACCAGCAAGAAACCTCTCTCCCACGTTGACATTGCACCTTACAGATTTTTTCCCTCCAAGAAGAAACTCATCTTCCAAGTACCCTCCCACAGGTGCCATGTTGGTGGGAGGAAGGGTACCCAAAAATGGGTTGCCCTGCTGAATGCAAAGGAGAAAGCCAACGGTCCATATCCTGGTGGATGGACTTTGACCCATACCCAACACTGGTGCAGGCAATTCTACAACAGGTTCGTGTGGACGAATCAGGGAAAATACCCACCGGCCTGCGGAATCGATAGTCTCTTGTACGTCTTCCCATTTGATACAAGGGACAAAGGCTGCCTCAAAGGGATGTGTCCACTGGATCGGACGAATCGAAAGGGGCACCATTTTCTTGGTCCCCGAAAGATGCTTAAAACAGCCAAGTGGGAAAAGTAGAAGATGTACCAGGCCTTAGGTTGTCTGCATTCAGACTTTGCGCGACTATGACAATACAAGTCAAATCTGGACCTTTTCAGCATATCCTCACCTGACCTGTCCGTGTAGATTCAGTGTAGATTCTCTTTGTGTTTTCCTGAACTGCTCGGGCTGGATCTGCCGGGCTCGGGTTCAGCAACAGAACTGATGCCACAGAGGACTGCCCTAACTTGAAGCGACCGTCCGTGCGTGGATTTTGTGTGAGGAGCGCCTCACTCGACTTTGCCGGCAGTTGCCTGGAACAAAACTAACTGGGAGATTGAGAGCTTGACAATATAGGTCCTTGCAGGAGCGGATTGGATGCCTGCCACTACTCTCGATTTGCTGTTTCGATGCCCCTAACACACTAACAACTCACCAATTCACGACCCTTTCTTCATCTAAGCTGAAGAACACAAAATGAAACACAAACAATTCGGAAGCTGGAAACGGTCTAAAAAGCGCATGATTTGGATACAAACTCGCAGAACATGGGTATGTCGAAATTTGATAACCCCAAAACTGGCCCTACCAAGCAAACTCACCAGAAACGGAACTAAAAGGCGCAACATAGTGGGACATACAGGGACATACGAATATATGTGGAACATTAATCGGACATGCGATGTTTCATGCCACAATAAATAGACACGTATATGTCAAACTAGCGGGACCCCCCAAAATCGTTCCTTCTTTTGCCGTCCATGCCCCAAAAAGGGGTACAAAACAAAAAACAGCCATCAACTATACCCACGGAAAGATAGGAATGGGAACTCTAGCCCTGCTCCCAGGCAAGCAACAAGCAACTATACGCCAGGAATTCTTACCAGGTCTTTTCTGGTCACCTAAAGATCTCAAAAAAATGGTTTTCATGGCTCGGTTTCCTGTTGGCTTCCTGAGAACCCACACAGAACCCGAGCCAGAAAGGCGAAGCGACCTTATTTTGTTTTCCGAGGCGCTCGGATCAGCAGGATCAGGAACTCGTCGAGCTCCAGGAATCCGCTCTCATTGTCGTCCATCTGAGTCGCCGATTTTGGGATGCTTTTTTGGCAGATCAAGGCACCTCTCAGGACACCCCCCCCCACAAACCAAATAATACTATAAATCTATAAACAATCGGGTGCGCCCAGTACTCCTGGGATTCAATTGAAAAGGGACAAAAAGCATACCATCAAGCACACACGCTTCGCCTCCTTCATGAGGCTCTTCAAGCGATCCTCCGACACCTTCATGTCGTGCTGGTGCAGAAACTCCTGACAAAGCTGCTACATTCCCATCCAACTACCGATGGACCAAGTCCTGCACCATTTGCCATGGATGAAACCCTGAGACAAATCTCCCTGGCACGAGATGGAGTTCCGCTGGCCGCAGCATGACTTTGCCGCTTTTCACGGGGAACCGGGTATCACGAGTGGCATAAATTGGTTTCAGGCGCAACATGTTTGGGGTACGGCCGTGGTGCAACTCTGAAACCTTGAGCCAAAGTGGTGAATTCCGTGCTGCGACGGAATGCCGCGTTCATCAGGCATCAACACGGTCAGCCGTGGCTTTCTTGACAGGATCCTTTATAACAGTGTCCATGACCAGCCCTACCAGCCCAAAGACAAGGGCCATCCTGGAGAGGTGCTTACCCTCCAAATAGACACACACATATATACACTATATTAGAACAAACGCAACAAACAAGTACAAAAGAGCTGGCAAACCTATTTCAGGTTGGGATCGTTACTCAACTTCAACTCCAGGACCAGGTGTTGAATGCCAAGTTGTGGCTCAGGTGGCTTTGGCCCTGAGATGGATAAGCCTCAAAAAAGAACTGGGATAAACCGCCTACCAACTTGGTGCAGGATTTGGTCCATCGACAGGAGCGCAGATTCGTCAACATTCCAAGAGTTTGGGAGAAAAAAACACGCCCTAATGGCTCATGGCAGGACCTTGAGACTCTTTCGAAGTTTCTGGCCATTCGAGTTGGTTGTGTCAAAAGTTCAAGCGCAGAATGTCACCAGAACTAGTCCTAGCCGGGACGCCGGCTCCAGTATTGCGACAACCCAGAGTCTCCAGGTTGCTTTCTTGGGCATGGGGTAAAGTTTTCGTTGTTGTTTTGGGATCAAGTTCACGCGGCCTTAGAATGGGCTGTTCGAAGGTATTCCTTTATCTATACCTTGGGTTGTGCAAGGATTCGGTCCCCTTTCTAGTGGCTTCCCTGAAACTTTACTTCTCAGTGGGTTCATGGAAAACCCAACCAACTAACCAACTAGAAGCAACTACAAACAGACTCCGGAACCGGAGGATTCGCTGGTTCCACGCAGCTTGAAACCATGGTTGAAACCTACGTTTTGGTCAGCTGGCGGGAAATGGATTTCGCACCCATCCGTATGATTCCCAAACAGCCCTCTACGCCCATCCAAGCAACGAAAAGCAAGTACAAAAACAACAAGCAACAACTCAAAACAACTAAAAAAACGAAAACAACAACCAACAAGCAACTCAAAAAAAGTAAAGGCAACTCAAAACTAAGTTCAAAAAACAGCCAAAAACAACTCAACACAACAAAAACAACGAAAAACACTCAACACAAGTGAAAGCAACAGAAACAGCGAGAACAAAAAAAAAAAAAACTCCGCACCCCGACACTTCGCTTCGACCCCCGGAGCCATGTCGAAGCCGTCGCCTGCAGCTCCGCGGTGCTCACCGCGCCGTCCTCCCGCGCCGCAGCCTCAAAGAGCCCCGCGTACCTCGGATCGAGCGCGGCTCGCGGATCGTCGGGGACTCGAGGGCGGCGGCGGAGTGAAAATTGTTTTGAACGTGTGGCTTCCCTTGGTTTACCGTGAAAACCGACTAGAAAGGGGTACCTGATGGTACAAACCGACTAGAATCACTAGAAAGGGGTACCTGATGCTTTTTCAGGCAGATGTTTCTAGATTGGCCAAAGTGTCCAAATCGTGCCACTTCTATGCGATTGAGTGGTCCTTTGTTTGTTCAGGGAAGTGACGCTTGACAGACACCTACAGCAGTGTCTGTAGTGACTCCCTCACAAGCTAATTTGAAGTTCATCTTTTGGAATAATTCAAAGTGAGCTTGCTTTTGGTACTGTCTAAAGGGGATAGGAAAAGCTGACCACATTGGTTGGGGCCAAGTTAAGGCTCATTGCGGTTGAGTCAAGGCCCTTACATTTCTGGATTTGGGATTTGGGCTCGGGTAGGGACAATTCAAACACCCAAATGCATCCTTCCAACGACAGTTCACAGATTTTTGACTCCAAGAAGACACGGGACAACAAGGATCCCAAGCGGTTCTCTCTCATTCTGACACCCGTCATCCAATTCCGAGCGCCATCCCCACTCAATACCCCCATCCCGAGGTCTTCCTTGAATGAAACTGGGGGAGCTGGATTGGGGAGTGGGAAGGCGAAAACTCCATGACGGTCCCCTGTGTGCGCGTGCCATGGCAATGGCATGCTTGATCACTGGCTTTGCATTCCTGTGGCTGTGAATCAATCAGACAGCGGGGAACTGGCCGGGGAGAACCCGTGTTTTGTTGCTTGATTCTGGAGGAAAGCTGGCACCATTTCTACTCTGGGTTAGGCATTCTGTGTGTAGGCGGCACAAGGAACCAAGCATTCCCACTCCAAGGCTCCAAACGCAACCTCTTCTAACAAAATATACAACCCCAAGCAGCCCTCAGCAACCCTCAGCAACACCAAGCAACCCTGAGCCCTGAGCCGCAAGCAACCCCAACCCAACCACCTCGCTTTGCAAGCCTGCCTGCAGCTTGCTATCGACGGAGCATCGATAGCTTTCAAAAGGCTCTGCATGAAACCCATAAAAAGGACCCCCAACAAAAATCGCTTCCTCTTTCTGAGGGTTCCATGTTTATTTGGAGCAACGCAGCCAAATCGCGGCTTTTCTGCCAAGCGGCTGGGTAAACTGTATGGGCTCCAGGTAGGCCCTCGCAATCCGAGAGCCCTTCGTCTGGCGGAAATATGCGGCTCACTCGGAATCCTCACCGACCTCCAAGGGCTCCAATGGAGATCAAACTTTTGATTCATCTGGAGGGGATATCAATCCGAAGACAGGACATGTCTCGTTCAACTGTTGTGTTTGTTCTCCAGCTGCCTTTGGCTTCCGGGAGAAAATCGGGTATGACTTTGTGCGATCGACGTCAGGTTGGTTCCTAATTCTAGTCGTGGCATATAACCTTGGCTGGAATTAGGATCCCAGCAAAAACTAAATATGTTTCCTGTTTAGTGGAAAACAAAGGGGACCCAAAAAAAGCAACAAATGAAAAAGGGGAGCTAATTCTTGGGAAGCAACCAATTAACTCTGTGACACCAGATTGGAACTATTTGAAGTCAGTTGGGGGTCTGCCCCTCGAAATGGTTTTCTTTGGGGGCCTGCTTCCGAATCTCGACTTCACGAGTTTCCCCAGCTTCACTTCCGACCGCTCGTCAAGGGCATCTAAACTGCCTGGTGCGGTAGAACCCATGTAAAAAAAGGAAGGCTCGGGCTGATTTCTGGGTGTCATTTTGGGGGGCTTGCCCTTTGAAACCAAAAAGGGAACCAGTCTGTTTCGGAATCGGTTTTCCCAGAATCATTAATGGCTGAACCCAAAAACATGATGTCAAACCAAAAAAAGTGGCTTGCCCAAAAACTGGTTCCATACGAAAAAGAACATCATTGGATTCTTCAGGTGCTTCTAAACAGCTGAAATGCATGCCGGCGTCTCCTTCACCAGCCCCAAAGGTCGTCGACTGCATTCGTTTCAGTTTTGTCCCAGAAATGGCGGACCTGTCTACATGGTCGGGTGTCATACGATTCTCTTCAACATATCCACCAAACAGGGTTCCCAATCTTGGAAGACGCAGATGGGGTTGTTGATTTTAGAGGCACCATACTTGATTTCAAACGAACGCCCGAAATTACTTCAACCAACTGGCGGAACCCCCAATCAACCGTAGAATTCCATTGAATTGGAATCCATCTGGGTCAATCATGACTGACAAACGCGACGTAAGGGACCCCCCCCCTCACTTAAGGGATTGTCATCATGCAGCCCAAGGTTGTCTTGCCCGCTTGTGAGGTTTCATGAGGCCCGCAAGGCTTTGACCATGGTTCACCCTCCTCTCGTCGGACCTCGCCTAAGACATCTTCAAAGCCACACTTGCTTGACCATCAACTCACGTAATACGCTTCCCTCAATGATTCCACAGAAGTTGTCTCTCACTTGCCCAAAAGACTTGGCAAACTCTATTCCGACACCTTCCAGGAAGGCCCCACGAACAGTCCGGGCTGAGGCTTTTAAAAAGTCCGCCATCGCCATCCGGGCCCAGCACCCACCTTGGACTTCTGCATCTCCGACGACCTCGTGGCCTCACTCAAGCCCAGGACCTCAAAATTGCCTCTGGTTGAGGCACTAGGGGGTTGTTCCTCAGAGGTCCAGATCACTTTTCGGGGAAGCGGCCCAAATTCATCTACGAATTCATCAAGTCTCAGCCTTGTGTCAAACACAGGCCCACGCTGCATGGGCAGTTGGGCGCACGGGCGCACTCACACACCCACACACACCAAAGCGAATACACGTGCGCACAAACACACAAACACATTTTGGTAGTGCCGAACGGCTAAGGTTGGAGGTGGAAAACCTCACGGCCCACCCCCGTCAAGGCCTGCACCGATGAAATCGAGCCCCCACAGGTTGCACCATACAGCCGAGATCTCGTATTGGCAGACACAAAACAACGGCCAGAATTCGGGTGGCCACGTGACCAAGTCTTCTGAACACTCAAAGGTTTCTGGGTCGTAGGGGGCTGCCCGTGACCTGCTGGGTCTGAACGAGAATTGAGACTCAAGACCCAAAGAGGGTAAAACTCTATTGTGAAGGAGCCCGAAACTGGGTGGTTAACATTTCTACGTGCTGGTCAGCTTGTTGAGTCGCATGAGGGGTCTATCGGAAAAGAACACACTTGCGTTTTCATCCACAGCCTTTCATTTGCGAAGAAGGAGCCAGGTTGCTCAACTGAGCCTAGGGGTCGTCTCAGGTTTCGGCCAGGCGGATATACTCCTGGAAGTTGACCTGGCCAAAAACGGACGTCGTTTTGGCCATCGACTCGTGTCTGATGGGTTCGTCCAACCGCCTGGACTTTCCGGTAAAGAGTGCCTTGCAACATCTGGGTGTGTCAGTTTGAGGATTTGGACCCGAGAATGGCTTCGGTTTTCCTGACCGAAATGGGGGGTACCCCCTAAAAAGGACGGCTCGCAAAACAACGCACCCAAATATGTATATATATATATATGCCCCCAACACCTCCGCAGCATGTCACATGCAGCCCTGCTTGCTGCTCAAGTCAACACACCTGGAATGACGGACAAGGGCCCACATATTCAACGTCTTTGATATGTACCTTGAAACCAGTTCGAGTCAAATGATAGGAGAAGACTGCCAGAATTTTGTTTTGCTTCTCTTATTCATCCGTTTGGACTCACTCAAGTCATGCGCTGGTTAGAGGCTGCCTTGCCAAGTACACTGGTGACTGGATCCAATTGACAAGGCGTGCCCGTCTGGATGATCTGGATGGCAAATAAACAGGGCAGGAACCGGGCTGTATATATATATATATGCCCTTATAGATTCAATTAGTTGTACGGAACATATGCTAGTCAGGCTATTTAGCAACCAGCCACCCAGCCGCTCTTCGGTGCCCAACGCATCAAATATCGAGCTGTGAGAGGGGTATGTCATGTTCTTGGCCGGACATAAGTAAAGCGCGACACAACCAAACTCAAGCATGGACTCACCCTGTGTCTGGCGCCAACTGGGGCTTGCCAAGGGCAAGCTCCACAGAAGACTTGTTTGCGCGCATCTTCAAGACAAAAGGGAGTTATACCATGCGCGCTGTTTCCTTTTGGGAAACCACCAAGGAAGCCAAACAGAAGCTGTGCAACCAACGTTTGAGACACACCTGTCGCCTCTGGGCGGTCTGTTGAAACCAACATCTCCGTCAGGTTCCAAGTGACTTTGAACTATCCAAGTGGGTTAACCTCCCCCTAGACGCCAAAAGGAAGCCCACCAGAAGAACCGCGAACTATCCAAGTGGGATAACGTCAGTTTCCATGACACAAGAAACCCCAACTCTGAGGATCGCAAAGCTCCTTTTGCATTCTGAGCCTTGGCTCATGCGCTCTGCACTAATCGCGCCAGGTGCCACAGAGCCATCACCATCCGCGTCAACCTGTTTACTTCACAGCGAAATGGGCGGGCAACATTTAAGGCTGTGTCTTTCTTTTGGGACCCCTCGAAAAAATGTGGTGTTCCCTTGGTGTCTCTTTAAAATCAACCAACAAACGAGGTACCCTGAACAAAAAGACAACAAACCTGCACAAAATGGCGACCCTGCTCCAAATTGGGCAATCAGCCTCACTGTCAGCTGTTTGTGTCGATGGTTCTCAAGTGCAGGACAAAATCACAAGAAGCCGATAGGAGATAAAAACAAAAAACAAGATATACCTCCAAGCAATGTTGTTGCCTCAGCAATATTGCCCGTTGCTGGTATGAGTGATTCTCAGAAAGGCACCTCTGAGAATGGGCTTACCTGGGTTCCACTTTGAACATCCATCCAAAAGCTCCCGAACATTAGCTGAAACCCCTTGTTGAGGGAACTGCCCCTGACAGCCCAAAGGCCGGTTCGGAATTCTAAACAGGGGCCCTTTGCCAACTTTTTAGCATGGATATTTACATCTACGGTGGATGCCGTAGGTATTGCATATCGGGGAACAAGGGACTCTACTTTACTGTCATGTCCAATGGGTTTGTGGGTGTGGTTGGTTTACTTGCAATATTTAGGGCATCCATGTTGGTGCCCGGGTTTCCAATTACACTTCGTAAGCTCATGTCCGGACACTCTCGGGTCTTGCACTCCACCCATCCAAACATCCTAGCCACGCAACAGATTGGCATGTGTGCCCAAAGGCTCAACCTGGATCCCTGGGCTCTAGGCCAAAACCATAGCCCCACCTTCAGTTCTCCAGTGGCAAGTGGGCAACTCCGAATGGTACCAAGAGGAAATCGACATTTTTTTATTTTTATGTTTTTGTTTTTACGTTTTTTTAATGAAAGTTGAAGTCGACACTTGGCCCACTCTGGGCTACGCCAAAAGAACTATGTTCATATTCTGCTTCGTATTGTAGTCTACCCTAGCCTGATCGCGATCCCGGGGCCGAATCGCAATCCGTAATCCGATTCATCCATTGGTTGGTCATCCTCTGACTGCAAGAGTTGGGTCGAAACCGTACGTTGCAACCCACAATCCGCCATCCGCAAGCTGCATAAGCTATTCCGCA